AAATCTTGCATTCATACATTCGGCGGCAAAATAATGACCAATTTCAAACTGCAAAAACTTTTGCAAATATTTCTGTAGGTACCTTCCCCATTTTGGCGCTCTTCAATTTCAGCACTACACTTTGAAGCTTGGTATGAGGTGCACCGACAAAAAAAATTAATTTTTAAAATGAGCTTGTAATCTCGTATGTCCTGATCATTTTTGCTTTCATAAGTTTCATAAAAATTGACGAAAAACTGGAATGTGACGTTTAGTGTCGTTAACTTTATTGACTGTTGCTAGACAGGAAAACTGCCTTTAAGTCTTGCAGATTTTGCTCAAGCAGTGGCTTTGGTGGAAGATGGACGCAGTACTCTATATATATATATATAAGTAGGCAAGCTAGAAAGCCTAAGAAATCTAAATGTACCTATTCAGTAAATGTCTTTAGTAGACTGGAAAAGACAATAAAGGCGAGAAAACTAGTTGATTAAAGAGATAAAATCTTTAAATAGGCTGGTTATAGAAGCAAAATCTGACAAACTGTGGGTAGACCAGAACGAAAATAGAACAAAGAAATTAAGGGGTTGAACAGAAACTGGAAAGAAAAAGATGAGACTGAGCAGAAAAGAGGGAGACTGAAAGAAGACTGTAAAAGCAAGAAACACACTTGACAGGGAAGATTAAAGCAGAAAAGAGACCGTGATAAACAAATACTGAAAGAAGAAGCAACAGACCATAAATAGATAAAAGAAGGACATTAAGCTAAGATTGAAAAGAGATGAATGAAACTGGTAATAGAAGGTAAGGTGGGTGGCCAAGGAGGAGAGAGATTGGAAAGAGATTATAAAGACAAGAAAGATACTATACAGTGAGTAGGAGGAGTGGAATGATGCTACTAATAATGGAAAAAGACTCAACAAAAACTGGAACGACAAATTGGAAACAGTAAATAAAAGAAGGACATTGAACGAAGACTGAAAAGAGAAGAAGGGAAGAAGGGTTATACCGGAAGTCGCCACCAACTTTATTTTTTTAAATGGAACACCCTGTATATTTTTACATATTTGGATTTGTTTGTTTTCAAGGTTTATAAATAACTTTACTTTTTGCAATTTGATTCGGTCGTTCTCGAGTTATTCGAATTTTTCTAGAAAAATCTGCTCCAGCAGACATTTGTTCAAAAAATCAGAAAACACTCAATTTTTGGGATATCAATTTAGGATTGAGAACATGCTTAAGCAACATGATGGAGTATGTTTTGGTGCCGAGAACTGCGGTCTAGAACGTTTGATCACTTTACTATGGCACGTTAACTTTTCAAAATTTGGAAGTACCATAACTTCATTTTTTTAAATGGCACCCCCCATATTTTATTTTTTAGTCGTCTTCGGTGTCTCATTCTACATCTTTTATATCCCATATGGCCCATACCTAATATTAATAGTTTGGGAGATAATTAGGGTTTTTTGAAAAATGCACACATATCATATGGATATTTAGCCTAGTGTGCCATGAAAAACAAGCCTTCTCAATGAGTTCTTGTCAAAGACTCACTTGTTTACGTCACTTGATGCATGTGAGCTAATAATTATCTGTTATGTCCCTTAATATTAGTACTGAAACGAGTTAAAATCGATAACAATAACGAAAGTAATATTTACACAAATCAAGAAATTCTTAATTTATTTTTTTTGCATGAAAAGCGCGACAAAGTTCGTAGTATGATTCCCAGATCTTCTTTGGCAGCTCGAATTGAGGTGTTGGGACTGGGCTCGAAATAAGCCAAGGTATTCACCTCTTCCGTTGCATTATCTACTACATTTTTTGGTCAGTTTAACACGTGATTAATTCGTCCAAAATGCAAAAAATTTGCTTCTATTCCTCTAAATTTACCTTTTGTCATCGGAGATAAATGTGGATAATTTTCATTAAACATTCTGCAAGTTCTACTAAGAACTTTGTCGCACTTTTCGTGCACAAAAAATAAATTATGGATTTCTTCATTTGTATAAACATTATTTACGTTATTAATATCCATTTTAACTGGTTTTAGACTCACAAGCATCAAACAACCTAAATTAGACTTTGACGTTTATCAATAAGTCATTAAACATTTGTTTTCCATGGCACACTAGGTTAATATCCATATGATATGTGAGCATTCTTCAAAAAACCCTAATTATTTCTCAAACTATTAATGTTAGGCATAGGACATATGGAATATAAAAGATGTAAAATGAGACGCCGAAGACGACTAAGTAATAAAATATGGGGGATGCCATTTAAAAAAATGAAGTTATGGTGCTTCCAAATTTCGAAAAGTTAACGTGCCATAGTAAAGTGACCAAACGTTCTAGACAGCCGTTCTCGGCACCAAAACATACTCCATCATGTTGCTTAAGCATGTTCTGAATCCTACATTGATATCTCAAAAATTGAGTGTTCTATCATTTTTTGAACAAATGTCCGCTGGAGCAAATTTTTCTAGAAAAATTCGAATAACTCGAGAATTGCTGCTTCAAATTGCAAAAAGTAAAGTTGTTTATAAACCTTCAAAACAGGCAAATCCAAATATGTAAAAATATACAGGGTGTTCCATTTCAAAAAATAAAGTAGGTGGCGACTTCCGGTATAACCGGAAGTGTTAGAAATCTGAAAATATTTTAGATGAAGAGAATGTAATTGCATACATTTTCAAATTTGTTGTTTGGCCAGAACCCCAGAAACGTCTAATGACCGGTCTTGCTGAGACAGCCTGTATAGGGGACGGAGCTATAAATTTTGAACGAGTGAAGAACAAAATTTGAAAATTTGGGAATCACTAAAGAGTCATAAAAGCCATATTCTTAGATAGTTTAGAACTTTCATGCAATGTGTTTTTTTAAGGGATGACCACCCCTACATTTTTAAATAGCAACCCCTGTAGAGTTTTACCTTATTTTAAAGCTAATGAAAAAAGAAACGCAACCCCATAAACTAAAACCCGATATCTTAATTCTGGGAAAATGGGAAAATAAAATGCTTTGATGCTTTTTTGCACTTTTATTACGATTTTCATAACAAATGTTCAAATTGTCAACCTTCTTTGATCTCGCAATAACCCAAACGTTCATAGATGGAATTTTGAACCAGCAGGAGCATATCCCAAGTGATGTTGGTGGTTCTTCAAGTATGCGCTGTTCCAAATCATTGATTTATTCTGGTATTGTTGCATACACTCTACTTTTCAGAAATCCCCAAAAGAAAAACTCGAATGGTGTTAGATCAGGAGATCGTGGTAGCCATTCAATGTCACCTCTACTACCAATCCAAGGGTTTGGAAACGTACGGCTTAAAAAGTCTCGGAATGCGCGATTAAAATGTGGAGGACTACCATCTTGTTGGAACCATTCGTCACTCCAATAACGACAATTGTGCCTATTAACCTTACCATTCAAGTAGAAAGTTCTTTTGAAGTCACCTTCGTTCAATTCACATTTTCCTATTTGGTGGTCAACCCCTCATAATTCTTCGAAGAATTAAGATATCGGATTTTGGTTTATGGGGTTGTGTTTCTTTTTCCATTACCTATTTAAAAATGTAGGGGTGATCATCCCCTAAAAAAACTTTACATTGCATGGAAGTTCTAAACTATCTAAAAACGTAGTTTTTATGATTCTTTAGTGAACCCCAAATTTTCAAATTTTTTTCTTCACTCGTTCAAAACTTATAGCTCCGTCCCGGAAGTTTTGGGAAACCCTGTATATTATACCGGGTGATTCAGACCACCAGTACCAGGGATTTTTCTCAAAAACGCGATTACCTAAGAAGTTGTAATAAAAAATATGATAATAAAATCGTATATGACGAATCCAATGCACCACTTTTTATCACGCTGGTAACCGGAAGTTATCATCATTATCACGAATCTATGAAGTCGGAAAACAAACAGTACGAGATATCATCAAAAAGAAAGTATGACTTCAAAATTTTATATCTCACGGATCAGTCTGACTTTTAAAAACATATCTTCACGAAAATCAATGAAAGGCAGAAATTTCTAATAATTTTTCTTCAAAAAAAGGTCGGACGGCGTACTTGTTTCGAGCGCAATGTGTCCTAAACAACCAACAATTTTACACGGACATTTGAAAATTAATGAATCATTCAAATGCATCAAGTGGTTGGTTGCACCGATTTATGAAAACGTCACAGGATTCGCGAGCTTGCTATTCAAGGCGAAAAGCTCACTGCTTTGGAGAAGGGCTTGTAGTGTTTTCTTATGCACTTGAGAACATAATTAAGAAAACGTTGGCTGGAAGTAATGAAGTAAGTGCACCGAGATACATATAAAAAAAGTAAACACCATATAACAGTGATGTGTTGTGACAACGCGTCTGGTGGCCATAAACTGAAACTAACTGTAATAGGAAAGTCAAAAAATCCACGTGCTTTTAATAATATTAATACACATACTCTCCCAGTCCACTATTACAACCAACAAGCTGCTTGAATAATTTGTGACATCTTCCAAGATTGGTTTCATAAGAAGTTTATTCCCGAAGTAAAGTTGTATTTGAAATAGAAAAAGTTGCCTCAAAAGGCTCTTCTTCTTCTGGACAATGCTCGCTCTCACCCCAATGAAGCAATTGTAAGGTCTGCCGATGGAAATGTCTTTGTGCTTTTCTTTCCACCTAATGTTACATCAATTGCTGTTTATTTGCTGGGGCATAATACCGATTTTTTTCAATTCTTGGTCAGCTTGCTCTGTTTTTTGAACCGGCATCCATTTATTTTTTTAGAATTGACGTCGTCATCAGGGTCCTCTTCCTCATCTGGTTGTCCATATACATTTCTCTATTAGCCGAGCTTGCCCCAAGCATTAGCAAGCATGAACACATCATACTTAATAGAAATGTTCTTCAGTGTTTTGGAAATATCGTCTTCCTCTATAGAGAGAACGTGTTCTAAGAGACTTTTCCGATAATACACTTTGGTTAAACTAATTACATTTTGATCCATAGGTTGGATAAGTGGAGTACAATTGGGTGGCAGAAACATTTTTAAGTTCGCCATCATTGCTTATTAGTTCGGTTTTTTCTGCTACGTAGAGACCCATGAAGATTTTTATGTAATTTCGCCATTAAATTTGGTCACCATTTACACAAAGCATCTCTTTATCTTTCACCATATAGATTACCCAACATAACTTCATAATAATAAAACTCTCCAATTCAATTCTTGATTTTCGGTTGCCCAAAAAATGTTAATACATTACAAATAATTTTAAATTAACCAATTTTTTTTAATTAGATCAAGGAAAAATTCCTCTCGCAATGATAACAACGATGAAAAAATTAAAATCCGGTTACATAAATGGAACCAGAGTGACTTTGGGATGCTTAAACGAATTTCTAAGCACAAGTTGTATCACAAATTTGAGTTTTCTTGGTTGTCAAGAAGATGGATTACCAGATAGTAACGATTTTTTTTTTAACAAACAAAAATGTGATTATTTCGCGAATTTTCTTGTAGAGTTAAACCCCCAAGTTCAACACTATTTAGAAGATCATCTTGTGAAATCGTTATCGTCAAATCGATCGAGTCTTTTAATAACGCATGGAACTAATAGGAGGAGATTCGTGAGAAGGAGGATGTCGATTAAAGGTGCTGTTAGAAAAACAAGATCGATTACTATTGATGGTAAAAAATTGTTGCAGCAATTTTAATTTATTAAAAAAATAATTTTTTTAGCGGATATCTTAGGGATGGAAGGTGATAGAAAAAATTCAGACCAAGTTGATCATTCAATACACGCAGAAACGCGATCACCCTCCCCGGAAATTAACCGCAAACAAATTAACTCCGAAGATTGCAAACCAAGACAAAGATTAAACACGGAAACTTCTTACGCGGATACAGAAGAAGATGAACTTTTCGCAATGTTGCGAGAATCGGAATCTTTAGAAGAACAAGGCGATATTCTCCAATATTTAGTGGATACGAAAGGATTAGATTTTAACACGGGAATGTTAGAATACGGAAAAGTTGTTACCGTTCGAGACTTATTAAAAGGATTATATGAAAAAGCGTGCCAACAAAAACTTTGGGGCCTCGTAAGACACGCTGCGGGAATGTTGGGAAAACGCGTCGAAGATTTAGCTAAAGCAATCACCGATTTATTAGTACGACAAAAACAAATCACCATTGGGATGCCACCTCATAACGAGCATACAATAACCGCACCTCTACCTGAAAGCGATTTAAGAATGTTAATTCACGAAGCTTATGGAGGCGATGACAGTTCAGCAATGCTAACTCAAGAATTATTGGTTTATTTGGCAATGTTTATTCGAACTGAACCTCAATTATTTTTAGAAATGCTTCGATTAAGAATTGGATTAATCATCCAAGTTATGGCCACGGAATTATCAAGGACCCTAATATGTGATTCTGAAGATGCATCAGAACATTTATTAAATTTGAGTCCGTTTGAAATGAAAAATTTATTACATCATATTATTAGTGGGAAAGAGTTTGCAATTAGTAGTGGTAATTATTATTAATAAATTTTTATTTTATAATAAATAATTTGTAATTTAGTGGGAAGAGGAAATTTTTCAATTATTAGTCAAAAATCAAGTAAAATAAGCAAAAAGAGTCATATTAGTTTAGATTCATCGTCCCTTGACGAACAAATAGAACCAGATAAACAAGGACAATGGCTTAGAAGACGCCGATTAGATGGTGCTTTAAACAGAGTACCAAGGGATTTTTATACAAGGGTTTGGAGGGTTTTAGAAAAGGTGTCTTTTAAAGAGGTTTTAAAAAAGAACTAAGTATTTATTTTTTTTTTATTTGCAGTGTCATGGAATTGATATAGCTGGAAACGTCCTCCCACAAAGTTTAACCCAAGAAATGACTTCTGGCGAACTTAAATTTGCTTTAGCTGTGGAAACCGTTCTAAATTCAATCCCTCAACCAGAATACAGACAATTAGTAGTTGAAACTTTAATGGTTTTAACCTTAGTGGCCGAATATAATATCGCCCCATCTATAGGAAAAATAATTCAAATTGAACATCTCGTTCATTTTGCAAATGAATTATTTTTAGATGATCAGGTATAACTATCATTGAGGTCTTATATATAATCTAGAGAGCGTATGTGGTGGTGGTGGGGGTAATCAGAAAGTCAGACATGTTGGATGTACCGACCTGAACTTAGCTATAGTTTCAAGTCTCTATTGTACCTACAATTATAACCTCACAATTCTCATAAACATATTATTATTTTTATTAAAATTGGATTTTTGTTGAAAGTTTTCGAATTCTTTTCGTTTCACACATGTTTTTATAATTTGGTAGGTTGGACGATTATTTATAACAGTCCATAAAATGTTTCTGGTTACTTGACTTAGAATTAATAATTGAAGTTCAAGTAAAGTTTATTATTAAGGACTGTTCAGTTTTTTTTTAATAAACAAACAATTATTTATAAGCATAGGTTAACGTGATCAATCAGAATTGCTTTAAATATTTTCTTCTTAGTTTATATTAATTATAAGGGTTATGGCTAAAAATTATTAAGTTCTTTTAAAATATCATATAATTAATAATTATTTATCAAAACAAAATTAATGTTTTGTTTTGGTTATTATTTTCTGTCTTTCCAGTTTATAATAATGTAAATTCTTGTATAAGTATATATAAGAATTTCGAATTTCCCGCTAAGTTGGTACATCTAACATGGCGACCTTTCTGGCTTCATTTTAGGCGTGGTGGTGACCAAGGTTTATATATAAAAGGTTGTCTAGGTTCGTACGCAACCATACTGCGCATTACGTCACATGTGGAAAATAATACCGCCAAGCAATTCAAATTAAACAAATGCATGGAGCGCCATATGGCCATGAGGTTGCGTGCGCAATCCGTGATCGCTTACGTCACGAAACACTCCTGCTCTTGCCCCTCGCCCACAAACTAAAATCAAAGTATTGCAGTATAGGAACTTAGACAACCTTTAATATATAAACCTTGGGTGGTGACAACAGCATACGCACTCTAGATTATATATAAGACCTCAATGATAACTATTAATCCATTGGATGCCTAGTATTAATAATTCTACAGTGTGTCCGTAAAGTAACAGATATAGGCGATAAAATCATTATAAACGGTTTATGGAAAAATCTCTGAAACGGGTCTAAAGATTTAAATTCGAATTTTTTCCGCTATTTTTATTACGGAATATGAAAGAGGGTTTTTTTTGAATCTACTCTGTTTTTAAACCAGGAGGAGTATTTTAAATTTGTCACCAGATTGACCTTGCACGTGATTGGTTGAATGCGAGGAAGGTTCACACACAGGCAATTTTGAATTTGAAGGTTAGGTTATTGATAATTCGACAGTTTCCTGTCATTATTGTAAATTTTGTGTTCTTAAACCCTTCTTTATTATATTTTGAAATAAATACACTCATAACTTCAATGTTAATTTGTATGTTTAGTGTTGACGATAACAAACGAAAATAAATACAATAATAGGTAAATAAATAAATAATAATAATTATTAATTTAAATTTACCGCCAAAATATCTAGTGATATTTTCTGGTGATTCGCGTTTACTCCTCCTGGTTTAAAAACAGAGTGTAGTATAGTCAATAGCCATGAGTAACTATGGTAACCAATTATTTTAAACAATTTTCTAAGATTTAGTAAGTAGTTGACCTCCTTAATGCAACATTTCCTGATCGAAAACTGCTTAGCTCATTAGTATGGTAAGCCTAGCTGTGGCTAAATTTAAAAAGCAGTGTTTCAGGGGAGGTTCAACAAAACTTGGTTTTGGCTGGGGAAAGAAACCCTTATGTTACTGTCAGAAGTATTGGGTTGAATTTGGACATTAGTAAATCAACGATTCATAAAATTACATAATAAAAACCGCAAAATATTATTCCTATAAGTAAACCTCATTCACGAGCAATGAGTCGTAATTTTTCCAACAACAATTTTGTAGCGATAACGAAGACTTTGTCAAAAACATATTTTTTCCGACGAGGGAACATTGACATTGAATAAAATAGACAAATTTGTCGGTATTGGGTTACCCTAAATCCCCATTGGGCAAGAAAGTTGCACATCCAATATCTGCAAAAAATCAATGTATGGAGTGATACTGTCCTGAGTTCTTACTTTTTGAGGAAACCTTAACTGTAGGGAGATATTTAGATTTTTCCAAAATGATATAATAATGTTGTCCCACTTAAATTCCAATGGCAGTTATTCCAAATAGATGTCGCGCCACCATACTTCAAGAAGCTTTACTAAATCAGTTTTTGACACTCAGGGAATAGACAACCTAAGCCTTGACGTCACAGAGATGGGCGGAGTTTATACTGACTCCAAATATTTTCGTTGCTAACTGTGTTGCTAACGATAAATCACCATAAATATGCAATTATTAATAAAATAAAAGTAAAATAAAATAAACTAAGTGATGACATTTCAAATGACATTTTTTGGCGATTTATCTTAGCAACGAAATTGTTTGGAGTCAGTATAAGCTCCGCCCACCTCTGTGACGTCAGAGTTAGGCAGTCTATTTCATTTGTTACCATAGTTACTCGTGGCTACTGCTATTTTTATCATGTCAAGTAAATTTGAAGAAATTAATCTTTAAAGTAATTTTTCTCGAAAATTTTCTTATGTAACCAATATTAATATTGAGTGTACTAGATTCAGAAAAAGATCCCCTTTCATATTCCGTAATAAAAATGGAGGATTGCTGACTGGAAATCAGCCAAGGAAGATTTCTTTCCAGTTTACGTAAGATATAACACATGAGCATTTAGCAACATAATGTCAAAGAAATGGAATGCTAATTTTTTGTATCACTTAACATTTTTTCTCGTGCTCTTTAGTCTGCTCAGTATCATGTCTGATTTGTCAACCAGCTGCAAACAGTTTTCTCTGTTTCTGTTTCCGTACAGAAGCTCTCACTTTCGCTTTTTTTTATTTTTTGCTGTACTTGTGGTACAGCAAAAAATTAAGCATTAGTTTTTTGTTGGTTGACTGTGTCAAATAATATTGGACAAGTGTACCAGTTGTCAACATATATGGTTCCAAAAGCTTTGTGACTACACTGTTAGATATTCCTAAATCGGGAATTTCCTGGATATCTGTGCTTTTCCACAGTACACAATCAAATCCAAAACATAGCCCGTTTCGGAACAACAAAAAAGTTTTATACCATGAAACACTATCCTTCACATCTTCTTGCTGTGATAGACAGAGCAATTCCGTAAGTTCTTCAGTGGTGAACTCTTAATTATGCTCTTCCATAAGTTCATCAATATCATTGCTGTTTATTATGGTATTGGGTAAAGATACAATCTCGTTGATTAGAGGCTCTACATCTAGTGTGTCAACCTTTTCAAAATGACATTCAACAACGCTCTCCGGCCAAAGTTTTTTTCAGTCCCCCTTCTCGCGCCTTATCAATCATTTTGAGACAGGCAATAATATGGAAGTAATATTTCTAGAACTCTCTGAGAGTCAGCTTTGTCTCTTGACTGACCTCAAAACAACGTTTGGAGAGTATTTTAGTGTAAAGGTTTTTAAAATTGGAAATAACCTGCTGGTCTATAGGCTGAAGTAACGGAGTGGTATTGGGAGGCAGAAAAAGGATTTTGATGAAATTAAATTCTTTAAGGAACTCGTTTTGTAGGCCTGGAGGATGAGCAGGTGCGTTATCCATTACAAGTAAGGCTTAGAGGGGCAAATTCATCTCTAACAAATATTTTTTCACAGAAGGACCAAACATCCCAAGCCTTATTCCTCTCGTGTCACCCAAGCCTTATTTTTTTAAGGTTCGTTGAGTTTCTGCGTGGTAAACAACTAGTGGTTTAATTTTTAAATCACCATATTTTCTTCTACTGTTATGCACGTTCGCTTCGGCATCTTTTTCCAGAAGAGACTCGTCTCGTCGCAATTAAATACTTGTTGTGGGAGATAGCCGTTAGTATCTACAAGCTTTTTGAAGTCATCCATGAAAATTTCGGCAGGCTTTGTGTCAGAACTTGCAGCTTCATCGCTGTGGATGCCGGTTCCTCTTTTAAACTTTTCGAACCATCCCACAACTAACTTTAAATACTGTTTCTTCGGCCGTTGATGAACATCGTTGAGAATTCGTAACCGTAGAATTTCTTGTTAGCCCCTTTGATGTATCTACCTCTTTAATCTAATCCTTGTTCTTGAGGATAGTGCAAATCGTTGATGACAGATAATGCACTAGCGACGAAAGCTTCAACGCACAACCGAGTGACAAGAATAAGGGACTTCCCCTATGCGTGTCACTCTTTATGCGAAATATCGATCGTTAAGCGAGACAATTTATTTTACTCGTTATTGCTTGAAGCTTACTCTACCTTTGAACTCAACTACAGATTCATCAATACACTGTTTTTCTTATATTGTCGAGAAATGATTGAATTTTTGTAAATTTATTGGCCTTGTTCTCTATTCTCTGCACATAGAACGATTTCTCAACAACAATGTGGAAAATATTGGAGTGTGTATAAGGGCATCATGACTCCAATATTCATTTATTTTCAGTTTCATCATCCTTGACACTGTTATGAATAAATACACCTCGTTTTCATTTACATCATTCCAGCTTTGAAGTCTAACTCTTTTTACAACTTTTGCATAATAGACATTTGTTCCTTGCACTATTAGGTTTACAATGTCACGCGATAAAAAACACAAAAAGAAATCTTTTTCGGAAGAATTTTCACTTAGAGCGTCAGTTCGAATATCCGAATGGCATAAAATTGTGGGAAGTCCATGAGAAGAGTAGTCTTTACCGTTTGTTCGGTTGAAGTTTTTAATATTCTGGTTCAACCTTTTCATTATGCTAAGTTTATCTCCAATTTCGATTCGGAAAAATATTCCTCTTCCGAATTAACGTGCAAAATAATATTTTCTAACTCGTCTTCTCTTTCTAACTGGTCTCTATTACAATAAGATACATTTCAACTATCCTCCACTTCGTACAAATTTCTCAAAATTCGTGTCTGAACGTGTTCATAAAAAGCCTAAAAGTACACTGTATTAATTAATTATCCTACCCAACGTCATCATTGCAAGTATGCAACACAATGCGCGATTTGCATATTGCAATATGACGTCGGGTACGAAAATTTTTGGCCGCTCGTATTTGGGTTAAAAAAAAAATGTTTTAATTAAAATTTTATTTTTTTTAGATGAAATGTGATGGAGATGCAACTTTATGTTGTGCAAAACCAAAGGAACAACGCGAACTCTCAAGAACAGGAAGTTTACTTTGTGGTGGTGCTGCTTATATTTGCCAACATTTTTATGATAGTGCTCCAAGTGGTTGTTTTGGTACCATGACTTATATAACAAAAGCTTTAATAGCAAATTTGGATTCTGTACCAAAACACGGAGAATTAGATTGTTCTATAAGCTAAATTAAATAAAAATAATTGTTCTAAATAGTTTTATTTCATTTTTATACTAAACAAAAACACTTTCTCATTATGTCTCGTGTTTTTTACCAAAGGGATTAATTCTTTGAATCCATGAACTTGATTGACTCATCTCTACATCACTTTTGTTACCCTCTAATTTAGCAGCTTTTAACTTTTCTATTAATTGGGCCCTATAAACGTGTTTTAAAGGTGTTGGTTGGTTAGCTGCATCCATTGAGTCTTTTAATTTTTTACAGGCTTGGTTAAATGAATACCCATACCATTCAATTTCTTCATCTGTGTACTAAATAATTTTTTTAAATTAAAATATTAATCAAATTTAATTAGCTTACAGCGGATAAATATTGACTGTATTGCTCCATAATTTCTTGTTGTTTTGTTTGATTATCTGTGTAAGTTGGGCAACCTTTAGAGAGTTCTTGTAAAATTTTCCGTTTTATCCCCAGTGGTAAAAGCGATTTTAAATCACAAGCTGGTGTCTACAAATTACATGAATAAAAATTCGTTTTATAAATAAAAATTAGTATACTTTTAAAATATAATGATCAAACCCATAATTAGAATGAATCAAATTTAACAATCTATTTGTTACAATGACAGAAATGTATTTGTCCAAAACTTCACTGTAAACAACAGTACGTTTTAATGCAGGCACCCAAAATCTAGGAACTCTTCTTGCATAATGATCTCTTTTTTGAAAACCTTGCACAACAGCTTCTCCTCCCCACATTTGATCATTATATTCGAGAGGATATTTCAATGGCAGTGGTATGTTTTGTATTGGAAATCTATAAATGAAGTTTTTTATTGACAGCTCTTATTTGAATCAAATTTATATTTTTAATATTAATTTATTTATAAACTCACACTTCTCCTGTAACTTCATCACGTCGATATCTGCCTTCTTCGGGTATATAATGAACAGCAGCAGGTTCTGTGTGTTTCCATTCTTTATAGAATTTTTTGTACCCCTCGGGTAAACAGGCGCCTATTCCTTTATCAAATTTCGTTGCTTTTTGGAAAATTCCTAATGTTTGAACTGCTTTTGACGACATAGCAAATTTATGAACAACTATAACCTCAAAATATATTCGCGTAATGAGCTAATTTCACGTCAATGAGTACAGCCTACCAAAATAAAATTAAATTATTATTAATTTAATTAAAATTTTATATCTATTTATTATTAAATTGTTATTAATTAAATTTCAAAACATAAATTATAAAAATATAAATTATTGATAAATTGCGGCTAACTTCAAATCGAATTTTCTACACGTTGACAAGTTAAAGACAACAATTCGTCCGGTATCTTTAAAAACCGTATTTTTATCAAAAATATGCGAATTCTAGTCTTATCTTCACTTGTAATATGTGCAATTTATATTTTTGGAGCCGATGGGCAAGCTCGGAAATCGGTAAAGTTTTATTTTATGGTCCCAAATAATTCTAACCTCAAACATGTCAAAAATATTAAATAAACAGCTTTTAAAGCATTTATCTAACTCAATTTGATCAAATAAAGGCTTATTTGAGGTTTTAATTATAAACAAACTTAATTGTTTGTAATTTAAAATTAATATATTTATAAAAATGATTTTGAGGTTATGTTCATAATTAATTTGATGAATTTTTTTGCTTTAGAGTTTGTCAATGGCTGAAAGAGTACAACAATTAACAGAAATGACCAACTCCAGAGCTGTTTTAAAGTTTAATGGAAATAAATTCAGGGATTACGTTAAAGCGACTCCTAGAAATTATTCAATTATCGTAATGTTCACCGCCTTGGCTCCTCACAGACAATGTGTAATCTGTAAACACGCTCACGATGAATTTGTTATAGTTGCAAATTCGTTCCGTTACTCCCAAGTTTACTCGAATAAATTATTTTTCGCCATTGTTGATTTTGATGAGGGATCGGATGTGTTTCAGCAAATGCGTTTAAATACTGCCCCAGTTTTTATTCATTTCCCGCCAAAGGGGAAACCGAAAGCTCTTGACACAATGGATATACAAAGAATAGGTTTTCAAGCGGAATCAATATCAAAATGGATTAATGAAAGGACAGATATTAATGTAATGAGTTTTAGATGAAAGAAATGCGTGTACAATGGAAGACCACGGATTCTTTGACTCAAAATAGGTCGATTTAAGTTAAGTAGAGGACATCAAAGTTAGCAAAAAAAATTCTTTTATTTTTTTATTACTTGAAAACGCGTAAATCAAGTTAAACCATTTTTTAGAGGTTCAATTAACGTCTTTTTATGGTTTTTGATATAATTTTAGAAACACAAATAATAATAATTATATTATTATAATTTCTGAATAGCCCATTTAAAAAAAAAAATGCCAAAAAAAAGGTGCTATTAAATATCTGCAAGCCTTGTTTATATCTTTGCAGTTAAAAAACCTCGATATATTTTTTTTATATCGAAGTCGGGACAATCGTCGCGACGAAATACGTTACGTGTCGCGACGAACCTTTAATAAAATCGAAGGTTTCGGTTTTTTGTTTGTTCTTCACATATAAAAAGTGTTGTGTCGTGTTTACTTAAAGTCTTGGGCTGTGTAAATAAACTGTAAAGGTGAAGTGAGTAAAATAAAATGTGCAGAAGAAAAAAAGACAATTTGGAATTATTACTTAGAAAAAGTGGAAATGGGAAAGAAGAGCAATTTGTAAAAATTGCGAAAAAAATTTACAAGGACTAGTTCAAAGGTTGAAAGAACACCATGAGAAGTGCAAGCTCAGGATATCTGATGGAGAAGACCTTGGACCAAGTAACATAGAAATTAATTTAGTTAAAGGTAAAAGGTCGTTATTTTAAATCCTATATTTTATTGCATATTTTTTTTGTAATTATCATCATAAAACCGGTGTTTTGCCACTATTTAAACAAAGCGGCGAGACGATAGCAACAAACTACTATTTCTCGGGCCCATATCTTCGTTACCTAGGAAGATAGCGAAAAATTAAGCACATGGTTAGAAAGCTTGGTCTTTTCTCTATCCTAAACCGTTTTCCTCTGCTATGTTGATAATGACAGCAAAAAAAAATAAGAAACGTCGCACTGCATTCTAATTACCTCAAAATTACCAAACTTCACGGCCTTGTGCAGCCGTTATCAGATGGAAATTCAACGAATGGTTTACATATTCGGAAAGAGCTAACCTTGGCTATCTTATTCCGAGTTTTGGTCCGCCAATATCTATCAGCGCCTGTAAGAAAAACGCACCTGAAAAAGCCCCTATCGATGAAAACACGCAAATACAGAACAGACAGGGAGAAAACTCTACAACTATATTCAGCTTATGGGAAATTTTCTGCTCTTTTCAACGGTATATATAACACATCTCAATCACACGTTTGCACAATCGTTTTTCAGCCCAGCAACAAACTTTTCCCTTGTATTTCCGTGTATTCTTCGGGTCAATATTTTCGTTATCTAGAACGATAGCGAAAAACTAATAACACGGTTGGAAAGTTAGGTCTTTTCTATATCTTAAACCGTGTTTTAGTGTTTAGTTCGCCGATATGTTGATAATAAGAGCAAAAAAAAATAAGAAACGACACACTACATTTAAATCATCTCAAAATCGCCCCACTTTAAGGCCTTGTGCAGCCGTTATCAGAAGGTAATTCAACAAACGGTTTACATATTCGAAAAGAGCTAACCTTGGCCTGTCTTATTTCGAGTTTTTGTCTGCCAAAATCTGCCGGCGTCTATAAAAAAAATGCAGCTGAAAGACAACCTACAGGTCGCAGAACGCAATCACTTCTTACCCTAACTTTATTATTTGATCAAGGAAAAATTGGGACAAAGTTTTACCCGAGAGAGAATCTTAACCTCATTTTATGTTGACAGATAGATAAATAAAACTAGAACTAACACTAGCACTATCACTACAACTAACACTAGACCTAGAACTAGAAATAGACAAACAAATTGCAAGAGCTGTATTTGCAACAAACAGCAACTTTAGATGTAAATGTTGTGGAAGTCTTTCTGGGTGTGGCGTAAACATATCTATTGATGGTTGGTCTATCGATACCTGATCGGCGTGGCTGCGTTCAGTAGAGATAGAACTTTTACTGTGATTTCATTTTTCGCGATGTCTAAGCGAAAAGTGTCGCTGACAAAATTAACATTTTAAAGGATGTCGATTGTGGCATGCAGAAAGAACTTGTAGCGCAAAAGCATAATATGATTCCTTCAAGTACGCTGTCGACAATAATAAAAAATTCAAAAACCATTGTAAGTAGGGGCGACGGTGGAGGAGAAGGAAGAAAAAAGTTAAAACACTGCACTTTTAATTCTATAGACGAAGCAGTGCTTAAGTGGGTAACTATTTATTAAAGAGAAAGCAATTGATGATTAGGTCTTGCTGCTTTTCAAGTTCAGGATGGTAGGACAAATTTAAAAAACGACAAGGAATATGTCAAAAAGTTGTATCGGGGGACTAGAAACGACTTGCGATCAATTGAAACCCAAATTGCTGTCGATATTAGAAGATTATTAGCCTGATGATATGGTTAATATGGACGAATGCGGACTAAATGTGGCCAATGTCTAAATAAGACATTGGCATTTAAAGGTGATAAATGTTTTGGTGGTAAAAACAGTAAAGAACGGATAACTAGTAGTGTGCGTCAAAAGGACTGGAAAAGAAGAATTTTAGTAATAGGAAAAAGCAAGGAGTCGAGGTGCTTTAAGGAATCGTTAGAAGTGAATTACGATTATAATAAGATATCCTAAGAAAGCCCATTGATAAAGTTATTGATCTGCAATGATCAATAACTTGATCTGCTATATTTTACAACGCTGCAATAAATGAGAATATAATAAGAATACTATAAGCTTTATGGAATATTTAGCGGTAGATGATCGTGACCGATTATTCCACTGATGGTGAAATAATAGAATTGGTAAAAGACCATGAAAACCAAAAGGATGTAGAAATGGACGATGGAGAAGTAGTAATTGAAATAGCCAAATCTACAAAACCCCGAAATGATGACCGCATTTCAAACCATTAGGCATGGTTGCCGGTGTATTGAAGAACTGCCAGATAATGTTTTTCAAATGTTAAATAAATGTGAACATTTTTTTGAGAAGTCACAAACATGTGTCAACATGGCGTTAGGAAATATTTAGTTGAAAACAAATAAACACGATAAATGGCTTTGTAAATGTGGAAAATCGAATAGCCAGCTCCTGAATGGCAGGGTAGATACGATTCCAACGCGTTTTATCTTCGAACGATCGTATGAAATAAAGGTAGGAGAACAATCCATGCCTGACGAATCTGTCCTCCAATTATGGGTGGACAGATCTCGTAGGGAAACTGTCCATCCTCGTTGCTTGAGGACTGCCATAATAATCTTTGTGAGGCAGCCGCTAGCAATGAGATTACGATCTGCTGAACAAAGGGTAATTCGGGAAATAAGCTTCATGACATGGAGGACAAACTGACAAGGAAAGCTGAAGGCGAACCTCCGGGATCGCCAGAACTATTTATCGCCCCAACAATAAGGTCTTTAGTAGAGCTTCAAAAAGAGGAAACACGTAAGAAGTTTCTAACTTACTGGGACAGGACACCAGGATGTCGCCTAGCCAAAGAGGTTCTGATGTACCCTGACCCTAAACGAACAGATTTATTTATGAGGCTGTCCAGGAAGAACCTACGTTTGGTTATAGGTTTAATCACTTTACACTGGCATCTACAGAAGCATTTACTGAACATGGGAATAAGTGACACCGACATCTGCAGAGGATGCGACGAAGAGGAGGAATCGGCGGAACACATTCTATGCGACTGCGTGGCTCTCCAAACATTAAGGTTATCCATTTTTTGAGATATCCAGATTCGCATGAGTAGAATCGGGGCAGCACAAATTCTAGCCTTTGCCTCCAAGGTAATATGGCTGGAAAGACCCTAATGCTGACCAAAAGAGGGAACTAAGTACAAAATCTGCTGAGGTAAAAGTGCCGGTTCAGCCTGCTTTTTCGCGAATCCAGAATCCAGAAGAAATAAACGCCTTAATTTGAAAATTATTAATCATTGTTCCTAAATACATAATACATATAGTGTTGAAACATATATATGTTTCAGTGATAACTTATGGATATTCAGCTCACCTTCTAAACCTACCTTGCAAAGATTTAGAAGTAACAAATATCAAAGAGCACGTTACATAAATTATAAAATATTTTAGAAAGAACCAATTAGCTAGGGCCAAATACAGACACCTTGATGGAAAAGCATTAGTGCTGTGAAGTGATGTGAGGTGGAATAGTGTTTGGAAGTATGTGTAAGCCAATGGGAGAAATTGTGTGATTCGCCAATATACAAAAAAGTTGGTCACATTGGTCACAAACGCTCAGCGGAAGATTATTTGAATATCTTGAAACCTATAAGTGTAGCACTTGACAAATTACAAAAAAAAGAATCACCAGAAAAAATTATCACCAGTACAAATGAAAGTTAATGATAAACGCTAATAAACTATGTCTATATATTTAGATGTTACTAAAAGTACGTATAAGTTAATATTCATAGAAAAAGAAGAGGCTTTAAATACAATAAAGAAAATGTACGTCAATACCGGTTTAGTACCGCGAACTGTAAAACTACAAGCAAATAACTTAGGAAAACTTAAATAATAACTTAAATTAAATCGACCTATTTTGAGCCAAGGAATCAAGTCTTCCGTTGTACACGCATTTCGAAGACACCCCTATATAATAATAATTAAATTTAACCTAATTTTGTTTAGATTCGTGTATTCCGTCCACCAAATTATTCCGGAACTTTAGCATTGGTGATTCTTTTCGCTTTGGTTGCTGCTATTTTATATTTGCGAAGAAATAACTTGGAGTTTCTTTATAACAAGAATATGTGGGCAACTGGAGCATTATTTTTCTGCTTCAGTATGGTTTCTGGGCAGATGTGGAATCACATTCGCGGTCCCCCTTTTTTACATAAAGGGGCCAACGGACAAATTGCTTATATACACGGATCATCACAAGCTCAATTTGTTTTAGAAACTTATATAGTTATGATTCTTAGTAAGTAAGAGATGGGAAAAGGAAATTTGTTTTAAAATTAATTTGTTTAGATGCTGCTATCGTATTGGGAATGATTTTATTAACGGAATCTGGAAATACAAAGCGGGATCCGAAAAAGCGGAAAATTTTAGCGATCGCTGGGTTGATTTTGATTACAGTTTTCTTTTCTTTAATATTGTCGGTGTTTAGATCGAAGACACAAGGTTACCCTTATAGGTAATTAATTATATTATTTATATTATTATTATTTTTTTTAATACGATTTTTGTTTCAGTTTCCTATTCAAATAGTGATCACCTTTAATAAAGTTTTTTGTTACATACAAGAAATAAATTATATTGAAATATTTATGGTCTTTATTAACTTTTTTAAAACATTCTAAATACATTTTATCGTTACGTTTATCTCACTCGTTTAGTCCGCGATAAATAACTATACCAATAAAAAATATTAATCGCTAAAAAAAGCATGGGAAAAACAATCCGGGAAAATTTATCAATTTTCGAGACCGAATTAAACCTCGGAGTTGCTTTTTTCTTCTTCCTCTTACAATGCTCCCGATGAGATGTACTCGGAGCTTTTTGAGTCATTGGTTTCGATATGGAAGAAACATTGGTTTCTTTTGACGAATTCATCCAACAATGCCAATTTCGATTCATCCGATTTCCTGATTTACTCGGTAAAGTACAAGGAGTTAACGGAATTACCTCGATTAAAAAATCGTTTTGACCAACTTCCTACAAAATCAAACAAAATTAATTAAATTCAAAATAAAACATTACCTCACCGATGTTGTAGCTGAAGTCGAAATACATTTACATATTTCAGAATTGCAATCTTCTTCCTCGCTACTCGAATCAAATAACATTTCCGCATTAAAATAACATTCGCCTGAACCGTATTTAGTGAAATAATGCACCACTGCAAACTATAAAAAAATTAAATATTCAAAGTGAATTAAAATAAATAATTACTTGAATAATAGTTGCAAATATAAACGTGAACGATACAAAAACAAAATAATCTAAAGCTGTCGGATATGGTACTTTAGGTAAATCAGTTCTTGCTTCTAAACCTAAAAAAGTCATTGTAAGAACTGTCGTGATTCCCAAAGAAACTCGATCGGCCGTCGCTTCTCTATTAAGCCAAAAAGAAACCCAAGATAACACGACGAGGAGCACGCAAGGTCCGTAAACTTGGATTAAAAAGTTTCCCATGTGCCTTTGAAGGTGAAAACTGACCAAAAGCATCGAAAATTCGGCTAAAACAATGAAATTTAACGATTTTAATATTGAATATTTTATTATCTAACTATTGTTGGTTGTAACATCTGATAGAGTGTCACCACCAGTTATTGCGTCTGTGTAATTTGCGGTTGGAGTGCCAATCAAATCAAATTGGGACAACTTCATATCTTCCGCTGTTACGATTTGACGAGCTCTATTCCACTTGTAAATCACATCACGCGTTGTATAACCAACTAAAAAAGTTATACTGTTAATTTTATCGTTATATTTTTTGTACTTCTCAATGATCTTTTTTGTTTTAGTTAAAACCTATTTAATTTTGTTTGGAAAGAACTTGATAATATATAATGATAAATTCGCATTTATCATGGTTATAACTTAGTTTGGAGATTTATCAAAAAATATGGGACTAAAAGAGTGTCACAAAAATCCGGAAGCTTAACTTTGCGATGTTCTAACTTTGTGCGTTAATTGTGCCATGATTTTGAGGTTGATCTAGGCCGGGGTGACTCAGGAAAAGTTTCCCCTAGAGGCATCTAATGCATAATCTGTCATTATTGAGAGATCAATAGCATCGAGGATCATCCCATAATTGGAAATCCAAAGACTCTCACCATAGTCAAGTATGTCTGGGATAAAGTTTGCCAGAATTCCAAGAGGAGTCTGAGTAAAATGGTTAAGGAGCTGAATATCTGTGCATATGATCATCAAACATCATTTGGAGCTTCGTAGCATCAAAATGTAACAAAACAAAATGCAAGAATTTTACGGATTCTAGCAGAGCCTCGTTAGAGCTTCTCATGCAGACTCACTTCCCAGGAAGCTTGATGATGAGGGCTGATAATGCCACAGCGGGCTATTCCTGCAAGGCAAAGCGCCCCTCAAATACGGACTAGAAAAATCGTCACTTGCACATCCGTGGACCAGGCGATTCAAATGTCTAAGCTGCTTTTTCCTGCTTTTTTACATCAAGAAAAATGTCGCCTAATGCCTTTCGCCCCATCAGTGTAACGTCATTTCTGTTGAAAGCCCTTGAAAAAGTTATATCCGTGCGGTGCCATTGGCATCTGGTCCACTGACTGACGTGAAGCTGGAAAATCAGCAGAATTGGCTCTACACAACTTAGTTGGTAGAGTATCCAGGACGCTGCAGGATAAAGAAATCTTGGTTTGTGCGTTTCTGGATATACAGTATTGGACAAAAGTAGAGCAACTATTATAGCATTACTATGGTAGTGTATATTATATAAAATTTATGATTTCACAAAGCTAGCCTTATTTTATTAGAAATAAAATAAAATTATAAAACTTGGGTTGGAAAAAAATAAAACAACTTTGCTAAGAAATACAAACATATGGCAAATAAGAACGAGTTTTTGATAAGATACATTCGATAAGACCAGTCTTAAACATACCTCGTGGTGTAGCTGTTTGCAAAACTATGAAAGAAATGATTTTAAAAGCAAATTCTCTTCACACAAATGTGTAGTATAACGAATTATTAAACAATATCGTCAAACGGAACTTGTAGACTTGAAAAAAAAGTCTGGACGTTCCAGAAAAACCAATGGATGCCTTGATAGAATAATTGTAAGAACAGCTAAAAAATATCAATTTTATTCTTCAGCCAAAATTAAGGCTGAGGAGTTACAAGAAATACACAATTTGGAGGTGTCAACACGTACAATACGTAATAGATTAATTGAAAATAAACTATTTGCCCGAAGACCAGCGAAAAAAAAAATTCTACAAAAAAAAAAATAAAACCGCAAGACTACTATTTGCACGCACCCATCAAGAGTGATGAATCATAGCTTAACTTATTTAAAAGTGATGGAGTGCAATATGTGAGGGGTCCAATAGGAAAAAAGCTGACTTCTAAGTACATGCAGCGAACATTAAAACATGGAGGAAAAACTAAAATATCGAAAAAACCATTGACACTCAATGACACGAATGTATCACGATGACATTAATAATAAAGGAGATTGTATTAAGTACTAAAAAATCTTTGCTTTTTATTCAATTTAACTGTTATTTACCTATAAATTGTTAAGTTATTCTACTTTTTTCCAACTCAACTTTTGAAATTCTGTTTAATTTCTATAAAAATAAAGCTATCTTTGTCAAATTTCGGCTACACAATTACTACATAATACACATTGCCATAGTAATGTAAAAAAACATAAAAATTAATATAAAAAAAATTAAAAGTTGCTCTACTTTTTTCCAATATTGTAGAAGGATCGTTCAAGAAAGCAATATCACAATCTCTTGAAAGAGTTGCTCTTGACAGGGGAGTGGAAGCAACTATAACGGGCTGGATCCGCAATATGCTTGATAATAGAATAGTTTCTACTTCACTCGACGGCGATACGATACCTTTTGAAGGAATTCCTTTCTAAAAGGAAGTCAAATATCTAGGAGTAATCCTAGACAAAACCTTGTCATGAAATTGACATTTGCAGGGAATTTTGCACAAAGCTAGACTATCCTTGTGGTCTTTGTGGAAAAAATTGGGGTCTTACTTCTGAAACACTGTACTGGCTCTATGTGACTGTAGTTAGACCTATGATCACATACGGAGCAGCAGTAAACTAAATTTGTTTATGGATGATGTTTTTTTAGTTCATAATAAACAATTTATTCCTAAAAAAAAATTTCTCCATCACCTTTCATTCTTAAGCTATGATCGATTTTAAGATCAAAAGTACTCAGTTTTGACATTTTGGGAATTTTCTCTTTATCACTAGAAAATTATTATAACTAAACTAAATTTGTTCATGGATGATGTCTTCTTAGTTGATAATAAACAAGTTATTCCTAAAAAACTTTTCTCCATCACCTTTAATTTTTGAGTTATGATCTATATATTTTAATACCAAAAGTACTCAATTTTAACATTTTGGCGATTTTTTCTTTATCACTAGAAAATCGTTATACCTAAACTAAATTTGTTTATGGATGATGTTTTTTAGTTCATAATAAATAATTTATTCCTAAAAAAATTTTCTCCATCACCTTTCATTCTTAAGCTATGACCGATTTTAAGATCAAAAGTACTCAGTTTTGACATTTTGGGGATTTTCTCTTTATCACTAGAAAATCATTACATCTAACCTAAATTTGTTTATGGATGATGTCTTCTTAGTTGACAATAAACAACTTATTCCTAAAAAACTTTTCTCCATCACCTTTCATCCTTGAGTTATGATCAATTTTAATACCAAAAGTACTCAATTTTGATATTTCGGTGATTTTCTCTTTATCATTAGAAAATCATTATAACTAAACCAAATCTGTTTATGAGTAATGTCCTTTTAGTTCATAATAAACAATTTATTTCAAATAAACTTTTCTCCATCACCTTTAATTTTTGAGTTATGATCTATTTTAATACCAAAAGTACTCAATTTTGACATTTTGGCAATTTTTTCTTTATCACTAGAAAATCATTATACCTAAACTAAATTTGTTTATGGATGATGTTTTTTTAGTTCATAATAAACAATTTATTCCTAAAAAAATTTTCTCCATCACCTTTCATTCTTAAGTTATGATCGATTTTAAGATCAAAAGGACTCGGTTTTGACATTTCGGGGATTTTCTCTTTATTACTAAAAAATCATTATATCTAAACTAAATTTGTTCATGGATGATGTCTTCTTAGTTGACAATAAACAACTTATTCCTAAAAAACTTTTCTCCATCACCTTTCATCCTTGAGTTATGATCAATTTTAATACCAAAAATACTCAATTTTGATATTTCGATGATTTTCTCTTTATCATTAGAAAATCATTATAACTAAACCAAATCTGTTTATGAGTAATGTCCTTATAGTTCATAATAAACAATTTATTTCAAATACATTTTTCTCCACCACCCTTAATTTTTGAGTTATGATCTATTTTAATACCAAAAGTACTCAATTTTGACATTTTGGTGATTTTTTCTTTATCAGTAGAAAATCATTATACCTAAACTAAATTTGTTTATGGATGATGTTTTTTTAGTTCATAATAAACAATTTATAACTAAAAAAATTTTCTCCATCACCTTTCATTCTTAAGCTGTGATCGATTTTAAGATCAAAAGTACTCAGTTTTGACATTTTGGGGATTTTCTCTTTATCACTAGAAAATCATTACATCTAACCTAAATTTGTTTATGGATGATGTCTTCTAAGTTGACAATAAACAACTTATTTCTAAAAAACTTTTCTCCATCACCTTTCATCCTTGAGTTATGATCAATTTTAATACCAAAAATACTCAATTTTGATATTTCGGTGATTTTCTCTTTATCACTAGAAAATCATAACATCTAAACTAAATTTGTTTATGAGTAATGTCCTTTTAGTTCATAATAAACAATTTATTTCAAATAAACTTTTCTCCATCACCTTTAATTTTTGAGTTATGATCTATATATTTTAATACCAAAAGTACTCAATTTTAACATTTTGGTGATTTTTTCTTTATCACTAGAAAATCATTATACCTAAACTAAATTTGTTTATGGATGATGTTTTTTTAGTTCATAATAAACAATTTATTTCAAATAAACTTTTCTCCATCACCTTTAATTTTTGAGCTATGATCTATTTTAATACCAAAAGCACTCAATTTTAACATTTTGGTGATTTTTGCTTTATCACTAGAAAATCATTATAACGAAATCAAATCTGTTAGCTACTTAGTATAGAGATGTATATGACTTTCGACAAAAGAATGTATTTAAAAGTTATTGAGTTGGATTCGTTCCCCAAGCGACTGCTGGCTTGTGTGAAAGTGTACTAAATATCCCTTGATTAATAAAATTTTATATACTTAATCATTGAGAAGTACAAAAAAAAGTTTTAATAATTACATGATCCAAATCTTAAGGGACATCGTTGAATATCCATAGGAAAATCTTCGAGATTCATTAAACACCCAGCTTTAATAGTGAGCCTGTATTAGTTAAGAGAAAATAGGAAAGTTAGTTGACGTAGGCTCTTTTCAATGGTNTTTCTCTTTATCACTAGAAACTTATTATGCCTAAACTAAATTTGTTTATGGATGATATCTTTTTAGCTCGTAATAAACAGTTTATTCCTCAAATTACGTACAATTTCACAGCCGGCTACTGAATTTTTGATGATTTTAAGTAGCATTAACAAGATACGCGTCTTTAGTTTTTTGAGCTTTTATGAAAACGACAATGTTTTTTAAAAAATAGTAAGAGGAAAAAAAGTTTTAGAATTAAATTCCACATGAAATGAGGTAATAATGTATTAAATCCACAAAAAGGTTAAAAAAATCTGCCAAAATTTAGGGAACCATCACCCTTAATCAACCCTTTGAAATGCCTCAATTGGTCTCAACTTGCTACCTGTATAAGACTTCTCAGAATAGACAGGCTCAAAGTATTGAAAATTGTTTGGTGCCTGTCTATTTTTATCACAGAACATTGATGACAGCCTTCACAAGCACAGAATCCGGTTGGTCAGTCGTTTTACTAGTATACAGGGTGTTTCTGTAAGTCGTGGCATAAATTTGATCACAAATTAGAGTCAAAATGATGTTTCGTGAAAAATTTTTTGAAGAAGATTATATAGAGCTTAATTTTGTACTTTTCAATTGGTTTCTATTTTATATAGGGCTGTTCCTAAAGTTTGTTTGCTCAGAACTTTTTTATTCTATCATAACCCTACATTTATTTTTGCACTTTCTAATAGTAAATTTAGTTTAGAACCTTTTATCACTCTTAGAGAATATTGATAAAAACCACCGTTTTCGTATTAAATGCAAAAATTAGGCTCCGAATTCAATAACACTAAAAAAATAAAATAAATAAATAAATAATCTTTTCTGTTTAATAAAAGAATCCACAATAAATTAAAAATCAACAAAAGATAAACCAAGCAGGAATAATAAAGAAAAGTACATAAAATAACAAGACAAGTAATAAAAAATACTAAAGGAAATGTTCAAAAATGTAGATTTCTTTTTTTTAGTGCTATTATTGAAATCGGAACCCAAAATTTTTGCATTTAACACGAAAATGGTGATTTATATCAATATTATTTAAGAGTAATAAAAGTTTCTAAAGTAAATTTACTATTAGAAACTGCAGAAATAAATGTAGGGTTGTGATAGAATAAAAAAAAACAAACTTTAGGAACAGCCTGTATAGCATTGTTCCCGCCGACCGATCCAACTCATAAATTGCCTAACGATTTTACATCACATTGATTTATACTGTACCAAATTTCAGCGCTTTGCTGTATAAGATATTTGGAAAAATGTATTAAATGAAGACTTTTACTAATTTTTTTTACATGAATCATCCTGAAACATCCTGTATAGAATTGAAGTCTAACTAGTCCTCTTCAGAGACTGTGCAAATAAATTAACATCTCTCATCCTAACCATTTTACAAACAAGTTTCTTAATATTTCTTTTTCTTTTGTTAAAAAAGATCACATATCAAAGTCGAAATCAGATTGTTAGTTTCTAATTTACAAAATTAAAGTTTAAAAAGTTGCAAAATGAAATTAATTTAATATTAAGAAACTTGGGAAAAATTCAAGAATCATCATGTTGGCTTAAAAATCGACGATTTTTTTTTAATTAATGTAAAATGACCCAAAAAGCACGTTAAAAATAAAAAGAAAGTGACTAACACTAGATTAACTTCAGTCATAAAACTTATATTATATGATAATTAACTTCAGGTTTAAGATGTCAACCTCAATTTTAACATATTTGTAATCGTCGTGAAAAATCCTTTAAAATGAGTACAAACATGACACATTTATCTTCAATATTAGTGAAGAAATGGTCAACTTCCGGTTAGAAATGTCAAGGTAAAATTTGACACATTTATGATCTTCATTAAAAATACTTTAAAAATGAGTCCAAACATGATACGTTTAACTTTAATATTTCCCAAGATATAAGCAATTTCCGGTTAGAAATGTCAACGTCAATTTTGACATATTCGTAATTTTAACAAGATGTCTTAAATTAAACATATTTTTTCATAAAAAACGAAAATATAAGAAAAAATCTCTAAAAGTGAGGTTGGTATTAATATTTAAAAATTATGTTGCTAACTTCATTGTTGCCAACTTCGAATTCAATATTTTTTATTCTAACTTTTTTGTTTTTTGAGATAAGTACGTCATGTTTGGGCTCATTTCAATGGTTATTTAATAAGGATTACGAATACATCAAAATTAATGTTGAAATTAACACCATGAAGTTGTCAACCTTTGATCCTTTGGTTTGAAAAGTCAACCTCAATTTTGACGTATTTGTAATCGTCATTAAAAATCCTTTAATATGAGTACAAGCACGACACATTTATCTTCAATATTAATGAAGGAATGTTCAACTTCCGGTTAGAAATGTCAAGATAAAATTTGACATATTTGTGATCTTCATTAAAAATGCTTTAAAATGAGTCCAAACATGATACGTCTAACTTCAATATTACCCGAGATATAAGCAATTTCCGGTTAGAAATGTCAACGTCAATTTTGACATATTCGTAATTTTAATAAAATGTCTTAAAACAAACATAATTTTTCATAAAAAACGAAAATATAAGAAAGGTTGGTATTAATATGTAAAAATTATGTTGCTAACTTCATTGTTGCCAACTTCGGATTTGATGTTTTTTATTCAAACTTTTCTGTTTTTAGAGTTAAATGTATCATGTTTGGGCTCATTTAAATGGATATTTAATAAGGATTACGAATACATTAAAATTAAAGTTGAAATTATCACCATAAAGTTATCAACCGTTTAATTCCAATATTACTTGAGATATAAACAACTTCCGATTTGAAATGTCAACGTCAATTTTGACATATTCGTAATTTTAATAAAATGTTTTAAAACAAATATAATTTTTCATAGAAAACAAAAATATAAGAAAAAATCTCTAAAATTGAGGTTGGTATTAACATTTAAAAATTATGTTGCTAACTTCATTGTTGCTAACTTCGGATTTAATGTTTTTTATTCTATATTTATTTCAAAACATGATAAAACGAAACTCCCTGTTAATTTTGCCAACTTTACAACAATTTGGCAGGTATTATAGAAAAAGAACGGACTATATGTCAAATTTGAAGTTGACATTTTACACCTGAAGTTAGTTCTCACATAGTATACAAATGGACAACTTCATGGCGTTCTTTCATGATGTATTCTTTATTAAGAAATCTCTAAAATGTTTCCAAAAATGATGCATTTATCTCAAAAAACAAAAAAGATAGAGTAAAAAGCGTTAAACCCGAAGTTAGCAACAATGAAGATAGCAATTTAATTTTTAAATATTAATACCAACCTTAATTTTTGATTTTTTTTTATTATATTTTTATTTTTGTGACAAATTTTAAGACATTTTGTAAAAATTAAGAATATGTCAAAATGACATTGACAGTTCACACCGGAAGTTGCTTATATCTCGAATAATATTGATAAAATAACCTATAGTTCATTTTTTTTCTATAATACCTATCAATTTGTTGTAAAGTTGGCAAAATTAACAGGGAGTTTTGTTTTATCATGTTTTGAAGAAAATATGTCACATTGACGTTTGAGCTTTCGTTATTCAAAAAGAAAAGGTGCATAAAAAGTGTTGTGGGGTGTTTATTTGCAATTTATTTATCTAGAAAAGGTATTTTATTCTATTAATTACTTTGTAACACGTTTTTACAACAAATATGTACTTCGTTAAAATCGTATTTATCTAAAAATTTATTAGTATTTTAACCTCAACTAATTAGTTACTGAAAATGTTACTAAAAATCATGAAAAACAACATAAATTTTATAAGGGTCCTAGATAATACCAACAGGAACCCTAAATAATTTACATTGACAAGTATTATAGAAATAAAACGAACTATGTATATCTAAAAATAACATATTGAGGTTATTTTCCAAAAAATGTATGCCTACCTTAAAATTTTTTTCCATCATTTTGTTAATTAATTTAAATACTGAAGATTGTATCTTCATTGTATCTCCATTGTATCTCCAAGATTGTATCTCCATTAATATCAAAGTTAAATATGTCGAATTTGGACTCATTTTAAAGGACGTTTTATAAAGTTGACATATGTCAAAATTAATAGTTGAAAGACCGAACTTTTTGGTTTTTTGAGATAAATGCGTTATGTTTGGACTCACTTTAAAGATTATTTTATGAAGATTACGAATATAATAATAAAATTAAAGTTGACATTGACAACTTTTTTCACGATTAAACGCGAATGTTTCTAGTTCTCGTTCTAGTTTTAGTTCAATAAAAATATACAACATAGTAATATCTTAAAACTAGAAAGTATCAGGTTTAGCTACCAGAAAATGTCGCTTAGTCAAGTGATGTATAACGCGGTCCAATTAGTGTTAATAAAATCATGACATTTTCAACTCGAATTGTAGATTACTGTAAATTTCTCTATTACTTGCATCTATTCGCCGCTAGATGGCGCTAAGAAATTATTTAAATTAATATTTTATTTCCTTTTAATTATATCACTTTTATATACATTGTCTAAACTATACTAATAACCACCACATCATCTTAATTAATTAATTAATTAACTTTATAATTATTTTAGTACTCGCTTGAAGGGCACCAATTTGCGGTTTTTGCAATTTCTTTAACAAGCGATTTGCGTTATGTAGTTTCCGTTTCGAATCGCTTCATAACTTGGGATTTGTCAACGAGCGATTTAACGCGGGAAGTTAACCCCAACATCGAGGGGATAATGCAACAATTGATTTTGAGCCCCGATAATAAATGGGCGGCCGCTTTCACCAACAACAACCAAACCGTTTTATTAAACATGCTTTCGAGCGAATTCACCTTAATCGATAACCCGTTGAAAGAAAACGAACCGGTTCGATTCGTTTATTTACTCAATCAAAATTTATTTATCTGCGGCGATTCGATGTGGGCTAAATTCGATATGAGGGGGAATTTGGAGGAGATTTACCACAACTATAACGATCCCAAAGTTTGGCCCATTTTAAGTAAATCCTTTAAAATAAATAAAATCATAATTATTAATTAATTTAATAAATAAATTTTATGTAGGGGTTGAATACATCAACCAAAAAGAGTACAACGTTGTTTTTTGGAGTGGCGACATCGACGAAGATCAAATGTTGATGGTTTACCACCTAAACCATAAATACGAAGAATTACAATTTCATGGCTCAATGGTGTTTGCGGAACACCACAAAAAACTTTATGCGTGTACCACTCAAGATTGCCACATCGTTTCGGAATACAAAAGAAACGATGAAAACGAAGTTTGGGAGAAAATTCGCGATTTGCCAAGAGCTAAAAACGACGAAACTGAGGTGGTTATGCAGTTAAAGTTGGATCAAAAAGATTCGATTTTATACGGTGAGATAGAAATGTCTAAAAAATTAATTAAAATTAAAAAATTTTATTTAAGGAACAACAAGTAATGGGTTTGTTATTTGGTTGCTTAAATGCAAAAGTAATAGTGATAATAAGAATGAAAATGATGAGGATGAAATTGAAGTGATTACTTTAACTTTACCTTATGGGATAAGGAATATTTCCACGAAAATGTTGCAATCAAATTCGATTATGTTGAGCGCTCAAAGAAATTATGCCATCGCTGGAGTCAGGTAAAATAAAAAATTTCAAATATACAAAAAATTACAACATCGCACCTGTATGTCTTGTATAGCTACAATTTTTAATGATTTAGACAAAGTTGCAATGATTACCAAGGAGATTTTCATCATTCTGAACGTTTAAAAGGAGTTATTTACCATTTAGACAAGTTTCTAATGATCAAAAACCCGATTTCTATGATATTGAACTCTTTGCATTAGTTTTGAACAACTTAGATCTGCAGTGAATCAATTTTTGATGATTTGGACAAACTTGCAATGATTACCAAGAAGATTTCCATCATTTTGAACAATTTTGGACACTTGATATAAAGTTCTTTACCACTTGGACAAATTTTCAATAATTACAAACTTAATTCCAATGATATTGAACAATTTTGCAAAGCTGTAATGTATTCTAATCCTCTTTGCATTACTTTTGAACAATTTAGAACGATAATGGATTAATTTTTAATGTTTTAGACAAAGTTGCAATGATTACCAAGAAGATTTACACCATTTTGAACAACTTTGAACAGTTGCAAAAGGGTTCTTTACCATTTAGACATGTTTTGAATGATTACAAACCCGATTTCAATGATGTTGAACAACTTTGCAAAGCTGTAATCAGCTCTCAACCTTTTTGCATTACTTTTGAACAACTTAAAACTGCAGCGAATCAATTTTTAATGATTTGGGCAAAGTTGCAATGATTACCAAGAAGATTACCATCAATTTGAACATTTGCAAAAGAGTTCTTTACCATTTAGACAAGTTTTGAATGACTACAAACCCGATTTTAATGATGTTGGACAATTTTGCGAAGCTGTAATCAGTTCTCAACCTCTTTGTTTTATTTGTGAACAAGTTAGAACGGCAGTGAATCAATTTTTAATGATTTAGACAAAGTTGTAATGATTAACCAAGAAGATTTTCATCATTTTGAACAGTAGCAAAAGAGTTCCTTACCATTTAGACAAATTTTAAATGATTACAAACCCGATGTCAATGATTTTGGACACTTTTGCAAAGCTGTAATCAGCTCTCAATCTTTTTGCATTACTTTTGAACAATTTAAAACTGCAGTGAATCAATTTTTAATGATTTGGGCAAAGTTGCAATGATTACCATGAAAAATACCATCAATTTGAACATTTGCAAAAAAGTTCTTTACCATTTAGACAAGTTTTGAATGACTACAAACCCGATTTTAATGATGTTGGACAATTTTGCGAAGCTGTAATCAGTTCTCAACCTCTTTGTTTTATTTCTGAACAAGTTAGAACGGCAATGAATCAATTTTTAATGATTTAGACAGAGTTGTAATGATTAACCAAGGAGATTTTCATCATTTTGAACGTTTAAAAGGAGTTATTTACCATTTAGACAAGTTTCTAATGATCATAAACCCGATTTCTATGACATTGAACTCTTTGCATTAGTTTTGAATAACTTAGAACTGCAGTGAATCAATTTTTGATGATTTGGACAAAGTTGCAATGATTACCAAGAAGATTTCCGTCATTTTGAACAATTTTGAACAGTTGAAAAAAAGTTCTTTACCACTTGGACAAATTTTCAATAATTACAAACCTAATTCCAATGATATTGAACAATTTTGCAAAGCTGTAATGTATTCTAATCGTCTTTGCATTCCTTTTGAACAATTCATAACGTAAATGAATTAATTTTTAATGATTTAGACAAAGTTGCAATGATTACCAAGAAGATTTACACCATTTAGAACAATTTTGAACAGTTGCAAAACGATTCTTTACCATTTAGACATGTTTTGAATAATTACAGACCCCATTACAATGTTTTTAAACAATTTTGCGAAGGTGTAATCAGTTCTCAACCTCTTTGCATTAGTTTTGAACAACTTATAACTGCAGTCAAACAATTTTTAATGATTTGGACAAAGTTGCAATGATTACCAAGAAGATTTCCATCATTTTGAACAGTTGCAAAAGAGTTCTTTACCATTTAGACACGTTTTTAATGAGTACAAACCCGATTACAATGCTGTTGAACAATTTTGCGAAGCTGAAATCAGTTCTCAACTTCTTTGCATTAATTTTGAACAACTTATAACAGCAATAAATCAATTTTTAATAATTTGGACAAAGTTGCAATGATTACCAAGAAGATTTCCATCATCTTGACCAATTTTGAACAGTTCTAAATGAGCTCTTTATCATTTAGACATGTTTTCAATGATTACAAAACCGATCTTAATGCAGAGGTGATAACAAGACTTCATTAGAGCATCTATTCCAGTCTTTAACAACCGCCCAGCATCTAATTGGTAAAATGTTCAGCAGAAACAAGATGCTAATCTGCTAGATATTGGAGTAGAAGACTAGTTATTGCCACAAGATTAGATACTGCCAATAGGAGATTAAATATTTTGTACAGAAGACGACCGCACATTCAAAGACGATAGGTGTTTGGAGTTTTCACCAGTTTTGGAGCAACGTTTTTTTAATCGCTTTTAGTTTCGGAAGACTTGGTCTTGTTGCAAAAAGTCTAGACATTTCTGCCAGGGCATTAAATGCTGTTTGCAGAAGACTAAGTGTTGCTAATGAAGATGTATATAGTACTAATAAAAGACTAGATATTGTTTTCAAAAGGCCACATACTGCGAATGGTAACTAAATGAATGGACTAAATTCTGCTGCTGGAAGAGTAGTTCCTGCGCTCAGAAGACTAAATATAGGTAATGGTAAGATAGATAATGCAAATAGAAAACCAGATACTCCTAACAGAAGACTCGACATTGCTGGTAGATAGCTAAAAACTGCAAACATAATACTAGAACGTTTTGGCAGAGAACTCTTAATGGAAAAAACTTACTACTTCAAAAAGATAGATACTACTAATGAGAAACTAGAAGCACTAAGATAACACTAGGCTTCTGGAAGAAGAAGAATAGATACTGTTGGCAGATAACTAAAATTGTTTTTGAAAAAGTAAATCCTGCTGGAAAAAGGATAGATATTGCTCATGAAGGACCAGATATAGCTTACAGAAGACTAAATATTGTCAATGGCAACTTAGAAACAGCAAATAAAATACTGCTCACTGAACTACTGCGAAATACTGCTCACTGAAGACGAGATACTTCTGACAGAAGTTTAAATACTGCTTACAGAAGACTAGATGTTGCTAATGGGTATCTAGATACTAGTAAGAGAAGACTAGATATTGCTTGCTACATTCTGCTAATGATAGACTGGATACTGCTAATTCATGACTACATTTTGCTGAAAAAGACACAAATTCTGTTGCTGGAAAGCTAGATCCTGCTGGAAGAAGATTAAATACTACTCATGGACGACCAGATATATCTTGCAGAAGACTAAATATTGTTAATGGCAACTTAGATACTATAAATAGAAGACTAAATACTGCTCATTCGAGATCTAGATATTGGTAATAGAGGACTAGATATTGTTTGCAGAAAACCAGATACCTGATACTTGTTGATACTAGATTGTAGATTATGTACTGCTAATTTAAGACTAAATTTTGCTGCCAAAGACATAAATTCCATTGCTGGAAAACTAGATCCTCCTGGAAAAAGATTAGATATTGGTCTTGGTGGACTAGATACAGCATGCAGAAGACTAAATGTTGTCAATGGCAACTTAAAAACTACAAATAAAAGACGAAATGCTGCTCATAGAAGACGAGAGACTGCTGGTAGAGAACTAAAAACTGCTTATAGAAGACGAAATCCCTCTGGCAGAGTACTAGATAGACTACTAGGAGTTTTGATACTGCTAACAAGAATATAGATAGCATTAATAGAACACTAGGCAGCTGGCAGAAGACTAGATACAGCTTGCAGAAGACTAAATAAAAAAAGAAACTGCAAATAAAAGACGAAATACTGCTCATAGAAGACGAGAGACTGCTGCTGGAGAACTAAAAACTGCTTATAGAAGACGAAATCCTTCTGGCAGAGTACTAGATAGACTACTAGGAGTTTTGATACTGCTAACAAGAATCTAGATAGCATTACTAGANATTCTGCTAATGATAGACTGGGTACTGCTAATTCATGACTACATTTTGCTGAAAAAGACACAAATTCTGTTGCTGGAAAGCTAGATATTGCTGGAAGAAGATTAAATACTACTCATGGACGACCAGATATATCTTGCAGAAGACTAAATATTGTTAATGGCAACTTAGATACTATAAATAGAAGACTAAATACTGCTCATTCGAGATCTAGATATTGGTAATAGAGGACTAGATATTGTTTGCAGAAAACCAGATACCTGATACTTGTTGATACTAGATTGTAGATTATGTACTGCTAATTTAAGACTAAATTTTGCTGCCAAAGACATAAATTCTATTGCTGGAAAACTAGATCCTCCTGGAAAAAGATTAGATATTGGTCATGGTGGACTAGATACAGCATGCAGAAGACTAAATGTTGTCAATGGTAACTTAAAAACTACAAATAAAAGACGAAATGCTGCTCATAGAAGACGAGAGACTGCTGCTGGAGAACTAAAAACTGCTTATAGAAGACGAAATCCTTCTGGCAGAGTACTAGATAGACTACTAGGAGTTTTGATACTGCTAACAAGAATCTAGATAGCATTAATAGAACACTAGGCTGCTGGCAGAAGACTAGATACAGCTTGCAGAAGACTAAATAAAAAAAGAAACTGCAAATAAAAGACGAAATACTGCTCATAGAAGACGAGAGACTGCTGCTGGAGAACTAAAAACTGCTTATAGAACACGAAATCCTTCTGGCAGAGTACTAGATAGACTACTAGGAGTTTTGATACTGCTAACAAGAATCTAGATAGCATTACTAGAACACTAGGCTGCTGGCAGAAGACTAGATACAGCTTGTAAAGAACTACTAGTACTAAGAGAACAAAAGGTTTCTGGCAGAAAATTAAACACTGTTGGCAGAAGACTCAATATGGCTGGAAGGGAAATAGACACTTGACAGAAGATAAACTCCTGACTAGAACTAGATACTATTAATGGAAAATTACTTATTGCTGCTAGAAGAATGCTACAAACTGATTGGAAGATAAATACAGTTATTGGAGTAGATATTAAAACTACCAGACTTTGATAGCTCTTTTGCAATTTCCTTTTCCGTTATTAATTAAATAATTATTTGTACTTTCAGAAAGAATTTATACGTTTTCAACGTCACAACCTGCAAATTAATGAAAGTATTGGACGCTCATTTCGGCCGAATAATCCAATTGGAACCTTTAATCGTCGGAAATTGGAACAGCATCGTCACCTCATCAATCGACCGAACAGTCAAAGTGTGGAACATCAACAACATCTTCGAACAAGTCCACGTAATCGACAGACACGAATTGCAAATCGACTCAATCAGGCAACAACATTCATTTCGAATTAATCTTAAAAAATTTACACTTAATTTAATTCATTTTTAGTCTATCTCAAGATTTGGGATTAGCCGTAACCGCGACAAGAAATTGCGTCGGAGTTTGGAATCTAAAAACGGGAAAATTAATCTCAAAGTTCGCAGATAGCCCTTTAGGCGCGATTGTGACTCACGCTTTAATCACGCCCGATTCGAAATACATTATTTCGGCGGAATCCGGAAACATTTTATTTTGGCACCGGTTAACGGAAAGGGTTATTTTTAAAGATGAACAAATTGGAATTCGCCAATTGAAATTGATGGAAGATGGGAATAAGGTTTTATCGATTTCAAAACCTTCAAATCCGAGTGGAGTCGATTTTGTTAGGACGACAGCAACAGCTTGTGTTCGAACAATACCAGGTCTTCAATAATAGTTATTTGCGTAACCAGTTATGAAATGACAAATTTTAAACAAAATTAAACGTTTCATAACGTGTTAAGTATAAAATGTTATCTAATTTCATTGAGAAAGCAACTTGACTTATTTTATTAATGACAGCTGTCAATAATTATTTGAAACGTCAAAATTTCAAAAAACGTCAATTTAATTTTAATTTTTTTAGGACTTTCTAAAGGTTTGACATTAAAAAAACGTAAACAATTTCCTTTTTTCGTATGATTTAAGCATAAATTAATTAATTTTCTTAAAAAAAACATATTTGACATGATGAGAAGATAGTAACAAACGTATATTTTAAGGATTTTTTTTCTGCAGGTGGTGCTATATTCTATGCGTCTTAAAGTGACATTTTTTGACGTTTCTTTAAAAGAAATTTATTTAACACATTTTGCGTTAGAAATAAAACTAAAACTAGAAATTTTTAGGTTATGCCGTGCGTCAAAGATTTCTAGTTTTAGTTTTATTTCGTATTTCATCCGCAGTAAAGTTTGTGAAAAATGTCATTTGAAAAAGTGAGGTTAGGTTGGGTTGAATGGATATTTCGTATCTTGTGAGTTTACTTTTAGTGGCTATTTCAATAATTCATAAAAATTTAATAAAAATTAGGTTTATGTTTAAAAAAATCGATGATTTTCGATTTAATTAAGCGTTAATATAACCAAAATTCAATAAAAAGTTATTAAAAAAGAATTCATTTTTATAAATTTCACTAGATGGCGCCACCTCCCACGCGTCTTTTTCAGTGACATTTTTGACGTTTCATTAAAAGAAATTTATATAACTTATTTTTCGTTTGAAAGAAAACAGTTCTTATGAAGCGCTAATATGAAAGAAAATCTTCGAGGACGCACTGAGTGAGTAAAATAAATTTTATTTTAATGAAACGTCAAAAAATGTCACTTGTAAAAGTGAGGTTAGATTTAATTGGAAAAGTGAGGTTGGAACGAACAGATAGATAAATAAAAATAACACATTTTCCAGCACAGTTTTAAACGGTAGGTATTTAACGATTTCTATCTAGAGTTATCAAAAAGTGTCCAAAAGGTATTTAATGATTTCTATAGTAGTCAAAAATTGTCCAGAAGCTTTCCAATTATTTCTGTAGTCGTTAAAAACTGCCCAAAAGGTGTCTACTGATATCTATAATCTTCAAAAGCTGTCCGGAAGGTCTCTAATGATCTCTACAGTTCTCAAAAATTATCCAGAAGCTTTCTAATTGTTTCTATAATCATTAAAAATTGTCCACAAGGTGTCCAATGATACCTAGAGTTATCAAAAAGTGTCCAGAAGGTATTTAATGATATCTATAGTAGTCAAAAATTGTCCAGAAGGTGTCTACTGATATCCATAGTCTTCAAAAAGTGTCCAGAAGGTATTTAATGATTTCTATAGTAGTCAAAAATTGTCCAGAATCTTTCTAATTGTTTCTATAGTCGTTAAAAATTGCTCACAAGGTGTCTAATGATACCTAGAGTTATCAAAAAGTGTCCAGAAAGTATTTAATGATTTCTATAGTGGACAAAAATTGTCCAGAAGCTTCCTAATTATTTCTATAGTCGTTCAAAACTGTTCAGAAGGTGTCTACTGATATCCATAGTCTTCAAAAAGTGTCCAGAAGGTGTTTAATGATTTGTATAGTAGTCAAAAATTATCTAGAAGTTTTCTAATTATTTTTATAGTCGTTAAAAGCTGTTCTGAAGGTGTCTACTGACATCTATAGTCTTCAAAAAGTGTCCAGAAGGTCTCTTATGATCCCTATAGTAGTCAAAAATTATCCAGAATCTTTCTAATTGTTTTTATAGTCGTTAAAAGTTGCCCACAAGGTGTCTAATGATACCTAGAGTTATCAAAAAGTGTCCAGAAGGTATTTAATGATTTCTATAGTGGATAAAAATTGTGCAGAAGCTTTCTAATTATTTCTATAGTCGTTAAAAACTGTTGAGAAGGTGTCTGCTGATATGTATAGTCTTCAGACAGTAGCCAGAAGGTTTTTAATGATCTCTATAGCAGTCCAAAATTATCCAGAAACGTTCTAATTGAGTCTATAGTCGTTAAAAACTGTCCACAAGGTGTCTAATGACACCTAGAGTTATCAAAAAGTGTCCAGAAGGTATTTAATGATTTCTATAGTTGTTAAAAATAGTCCAAAAGCTTTCTAATTATTTCTATAGTCGTTAAAAACTGTCCACAAGGTGTTTAATGATACCTACAGTTATCAAAAGGTGTTCAGAAAGTATTTAACGATTTCTATAGTAGTCAAAAATTGTCCAGAAGCTTTCTAATTATTTCTATAGTCGTTAAAAACTGTCCACAAGGTGGCTAATGATACCTAGAGTTATCAAAAAGTGTCCAGAAGGTATTTAACGATTTCTATAGAAGTCAAAAATTGTCCAGAATCTTTCTAATTGTTTCTATAGTCAATAAAAACTGTCCAGAAGGTGTCTACTGATATCGATAGTTTTCAAAAAGTGTCCAGAAGGTCTCTAATGATCTCTATAGTAGTATAGTAGATCTCTATAGTACCTAGAGTTATCAAAAAGTGTCCAGAAGGTATTTAACGATTTCTATAGAAGTCAAAAATTATCCAGAATCTTTCTAATTGTTTCTATAGTCAATAAAAACTGTCCAGAAGGTGTCTACTGATATCGATAGTCTTCAAAAAGTGTCCAGAAGGTCTCTAATGATCTCTATAGTAGTCAAAGATTATCCGAAAGCTTTCTAATTGTTTCTATATTCATTAAAAACAGTCCAAAATGTGTCTAATGATACTTAGAGTTATCAAAAAGTGTTCAGAAGTTATCCAATGATTGCTATAGTAGTTAAAAATTGTCCAGAAGCTTTCTAATTATTTCCATAGTAGTTAAAAACATGAAATGTTCATTCTCACAAATGCGAGTAGAGATCCAACTCAAGGTTTTTAATGTTATAGCGCCCGCGATGGCCGAGGGCGGCCGATGTCTTCGAAAACGGCCGTGTTGGTACTTGAAAATGATATTGAGGATTCTTAATCACACTTTTCCAACACAACCTAACCTCACTTTTTCAAATGACATCTTTTTGACGTTTCATTAAAAAAATTTATTTAAATCACTTACTTTTATATTTAAAACTAAAAAGGAATTTGCGTCATAAAAGCTCGTTTTAGTCACAAGTACACGTTTTACCTTATAGAAAAAATTAAATAGTAATTCCCTTTTTCGTGGCTTTAAATTATGTTAGAATATTTGACATGATGAGAAGATAGTTACCAACGTACATTTTTAGACGTTTTGCGATAGATGGCACTATCTCTATTTATAACTGATTTTGCGTCAAAGCATAACTCTAAAATTTCCCAGTTTTAGTTTTATTTTTTATTACATCAGCAAAAAAGTGTACGAAAACGTTGTGAATAGAATAATTTTTTGTTTAAAAGTTTTTAACATCCCGTTACCATGGTGATTTATCCAGGGTGTTACCATGGTCAATTTAATTTAATTTTTTAGCACTTTCTAAAGGTTTGACATTAAAAAAACGTAAACAAATTCCTTTTTTCCTATGATTTAACCATAAATTAATTAGTTTTCGTAAAAAAACATGACGTTTCATAAAATTGACATTTAATTTTGAGAAAATTGTTGTGAAGTTGGTTACAGTTGGTAACATTGAATTTGTGTCACATTGACGTTTAAACTTTATTCAAAAATTTATTTAAAAAATAAATTTATGGAATCAATTTCAACTTATATAATAATATACTATTTCATAATGGAATTAGTTAAAAAAATTTATTACCTAAAAAAAATTTTTAGATGGCGAATTAGAGTACAGTTTTGAGTACCCTTACCGAAGCATAACCGGAGTTCCCTTTAAACCAGCTGTAATAACCTCAGATAACGAGCATATTGTTGTTATAGCTGCTGATAAAACAAATCGAGATTGCGTTATGGTTTTTAACGCTTTGAGTGGGACTCAAATGAATAAAATCCCATTAAAAAGTTGTGCTATTAAAGTAAATAAACCAACAACTAATTAATAACCCAATTTAATTAAATACTTTTTATAGGATGTTTCTTCTCTAGTTGCTTTACCTCATAAAGGGCACTTAATAGCAGTCACAACTTCTGATAAAGGAGCTATATTAGATATAAGAAACAAAAAGCACGTTCGTACAATCCCAAAATGGGGTGGAATATGTACGAAAGATGGGAAATTTGGTTTATACGCCCCTCAAAGGGGTGGATTAGAATTAATCGAACTTAAAAAAGGACAAACTGTAAAAACGTACATCCCAAAAGTAGCGGAAGGTGTTTTTACAATAATCTGCATGTTCAATTCGACCGATGAATATGTTTTGTATTACCATAGTGGGAAAAAAACTCTACGCGTTTTTAGAACATCCGATGCTGAAATGATTGCAAATTTCCGCTGTCAAGCTGAATTATCAGCTGTGGAGAGCACCCTTGATGGTCGTGCTTTAGTTTTAGGTACTGTAGATGGTTGTGTTTCTGTTCTAGCAATCTTAGACCCCGAGAAAAAAGATATGATTCAATACTTGGCAAATATGCCATCACGAGATGAAGAAGTAAGTAAAAAAAATTTTTTGTTGTATTCACTCACCAAATTAATAAATTTTCCCATTGGGGGGAGTTATTTAACGGGTTTTAACCATGTTTTTCGCCTCCAAATCGAATTTTCTTCGACAGTCACTGTAAATACAAACATAGTCACTTCATTCAGTCACAAATTCAATTGATGTTTTTCGGGTTATTTTAACAGATTTATTTCAAAACTTTCGATCAAACGTAACAAAACAACCCCAAAAAACATTTAAACATCAATTTTTCACTTAAAATCGAAAAAATCGTTCAATATTTACAAATAAAAAAAGTGAGGTTATGTCAACCATCAACAAATAATTTCATTCATAACAAATAATTAACAAAACTTACTCTTTCTCCGGGTTTGTATCATCTAATAACATCGATTTAGAGTTAAAACAGTCTTAAAACGCACATATTTAAATTAATAGGGCACAAAATTTTTAAACGACACACACGTTTGTTTGGGTTAAAGCGATAGCGCCATCTAGTGTCACATCAACATCGTTAAATTAACAAATATAACCTCAATTTGTTTATTTTTTTTGTCATTTTAATCCCTTATTGTTGTAATTATCGCAAATTCCCCGTGTTTTAGTGGGCGAAAAAGATTGAGAAGCTCCGCGCTGTTAAACGATTCAAAGCAGTGGGGGCTTTAGCCAAGTTATCGACGAAATTTGGAGCGAATGAAGATATCGGAGAAATTGAAGGAAATGATGAAGTTAATGAGGATTGAAGATATTTAATTTAATTAATATTGTTGTTATTAATTAAAATTTAAATTGTATGTATAGATTCCTGTAATTTGTTAATTAAAAAATAACCCCATAGATGTCAAAGATAAAAACATAGGTTATTTCATTTTATTTACATTAACTTAAGAAATTCCTCACAATACTTTATGAAATCATCTAATTAATTAATAAAATTAAATAATTATTTCACCTTTTCCCCATAACTCGTATTTAACGATCAATCTCTCCAAAAACCTCGCAAATTAAGTGTTTAATGGGCGAAAAAGATTGAAAAGCTCCGCGCTGTTAAAGGATTCGAAGCAGTGGGGTCTTTAGCGGAGTTATCGACGAAATTGGGAGCGAATGAAGATTATGAGGAAGTTAATGAGGAATAAAGATATTTAATTAACATTGTTGTTGTTATTAAGATTTAAATTGTATATACAGATTCCTGTAATATGTTAATTAATAAATAACCCCATAGATGTCAAAGATAAAAATATAGGTTATGTATGTACCTTTTTTCATTTTATTTACATTAACTTAAGAAATTCCTCACAATACTTCATGAAATCATCTAATTAATTAATAAAATTAAATAATTATTTCACCTTTTTCCCCTAACTCGTATTTAACGATCAATCTCTCCAAAAACAACATCTAAAGTTCCAATAATCGCCACGATATCAGCCAACATATGATTTTTCCCCACCTTTTCCAACGCAGCCAAATGCGCAAATCCGGGGGCCTTAATTTTGCATCTATAAGGTTTCGAAGAACCATCAGAAACTAAATAAACCCCAAATTCACCTTTGGGCGCTTCAATAGCAGTGTAAGTAGCACCAGGGGGTACTTGGTAACCTTGTGAAAATAATTTAAAGTGATGAATTAAAGCCTCCATTGAAGTCTAAAAAAAAACTCTTTATATCAAAGAAATAAATAAATTAATCTTATTAAACCTTCATTTCTTCTCGACTTGGAGGTGTAATTTTAGCATCATCCGTTTTAATTTCCCCCGTAGGCATTTTATTCAAACATTGCTCGATGATATTCAAAGATTGACGCATTTCTTCGACTCTACATAAATAGCGATCGTAACAATCGCCGTTAACGCCGATGGGAACATCAAAATCGATTAAATCGTAAGCATCGTAAGGTTGAGTTTTGCGCAAATCCCATTTAATACCCGATCCGCGTAACATAACCCCACTAAAACCTAAATTTAAAGCTTCCTCTGCAGTGACAATGCCAACATCTTTCGTTCTTTGCACCCAAATACGATTAGCCGTTAAAACATCTTCCACTTCGTCGATACGTTCATTAAATTGCTGGCTAAATTCGTAGATATCATCTAAAAGTCCTAATGGAAGATCTAAAGAAACACCTCCTGGACGAATATAAGCGGCGTGCATTCTAGCGCCGGAAACGCGTTCATAAAATTCCATTAATTTTTCACGTTCCTCAAACAGCCAGAAAAACGGGGTTAAAGCTCCTACATCTAAAGCATGTGTCCCAATGGCCATGATATGATTTAAAATACGAGTTATTTCAGCGAAAAGTACTCGAATATATTTAGCACGTAATGGCACATCTATGTTTAATAACTTTTCAATTGCAAGACTGTAACATTGCTCGTTACACATCATTGAAACATAATCTAACCTATCAAAGTATGGAAGTGCTTGGGTGTAGGTTTTATACTCAATTAATTTCTCAGTTCCACGGTGTAATAAACCAATATGTGGATCAGCTCGTTTTACAACCTAAAAAAATTTTTTTAAATAACAAATTTAACAATTTTAATAATTTAATAATCACCTCCCCATCTAATTCCAAAACTAATCGTAATACACCATGAGCGGCTGGATGCTGAGGTCCAAAATTAATCGTTAAATTCTTCACAGCTTTTTCAATTGGAGCAAGTTGCGCATTCCACGGCGGTAAAGCCCACGTTTGAGTGACCTCATTATGAAAAATAACGGGTCCTTCAAATTGTTGGAACCATTCACTGTCGGGGGCCCAACGAGCCGCCTTTCTATCTTGGCTAAAACGATCGTCATAACCTCAAAATTACATAATCGTGATTTCTCACGACGAGATTTACCTCGTATGGATTGCGGCGACGCTTTTTATCAGTTGAACGGGATTATTTAGTGATCGCTTTAAAATCGCGTTTAACAGCGCGTTCGCCATAATTAGTTATTTTGAAATATTTTTCTTTTTTGTGGTTAGATTTTGACGTATCAGGCTAGAAAGGGAGCTGCTTTATCGACATCGAAGCTGTCAAAAAATAAGTTGACGTGTATTTGAGTTTCGGTAAAAGTGTTGTAATTCGATTTGAGGTTATTTAATTATTAAAAAGAGGGTTAAAATGGATTTATCGGCGTATTTTCCAACGCATATGGTAAAGAGGCTAAAAAAATTAGACTAGAAAATAAATCATAACCTCAAAAAAAGTTTGATTCAATGTTGTATTAAATCATTTTTAGGATTTTGAAGGGCAAGCTCGAGCTGAGAGACTTTCGCGAATAATTATAACATTATTCGGGGTTGTTGGTCTTATTTGGGGTTATATGATTCAACAATTTTCGCAAATGGTGTATATTTTGGGTGCTGGGTTCATGTTGGCTGCGTTGGTAAGATTAAATGTTTATAAAATCACGTTTTTGGGATATTTATATTGTTTTTAATGCCTTTTTATAGTTAACTATCCCTCCTTGGCCTTTATACAGAAAAAATCCTTTAAATTGGCAGAAAGCAAAAGCGGAGGGAGAAAGCGAATCTACTAAAAAGGGGAAGAAGAAAAATTAAATTAATTATATGTTTGTGGTCTTTTATAATTATTAATGGTAAGATAATAAATGGGAAATGAGAAAAATTTTTCTTAATTAATTTATATTTGTTAAGAGTTAAAGTGCTTTATAAAAATATTATCCATATTGAGAAGTGCAAGGGAAAAAAGTAAATATAATTATTTGGGAAAATATATCACTAGAATGATGGTAATTTAGTAAAAAAATCATAATTCTATTTATGCAATTTTGACGTTTCGAATGTCACATTTTTTACAACTACATTTCATTATAAATTATTAACAAATTTCAAAATTACCTATTTTTTTAAATAAAAATAAATCTTTTCATCACTTCTTTAATAAATATCAATTTTTATTAACTTTAAAGTTAATTTAAAAACATAAATCGAAAGTGGCGCCATCTGTTAACCTGTTGCATAACCTCACTTATTATTTGTTGAAAATCTTGCGTAGATGAAAAACATAACTTGTATTGCGGTACGAAAGTTATTTTTATACAATTATGATACCAATAACTAATTTAAAAAATTCATAATCATACTTTGGTGTATAACTCTCCATAACGTTTTGAAACAACACTGAATTGTGTTTTGGATGTGTACAAAAATTTACAATAGGATCCTTAGGGATTTGACGACGTAGGAATGAATGATTTGTTGATTGCTTCGATCAATTTACATTTCGTAGTGGTTTGTTAGCTTCATCTGTATTTTTATTATTTCGCACCATGTATTTTTTTGGTAACCAAAATGCTTTTACTCTTCAAAGTGAAATAAATAAATCAAAAATATTTGAAATCACTACTTACCATTCTTGAATAATTCGTAATTTTCTAATTCTTCGGTCGCCAACTTTAACATAACCTAAAAAGTGTGGAAATAAAAATTTAATTGTCAAATTTTAGTGCAACCAACTTATAATTTTTAGTTTTTTATTACAATTTAAATTTTTGTTTATTAATTATTAACAAATTTAAAAATTACCCATCTTATTAACTAATATTAATCGTTTCATAACATTTTTTCTATAAATAATTATTTTTATTAACTTTAAAGTTATTTTAAACATTTAAAATGAAAGTGGCGCCATCTGTTGACATTAAGTTGTTTATAAACAGTATGTACATAACCTCACTTATTGTTTGATTTTGGAATCACAAAGAATTATGTTTTGGATGTGTACAAGAACGGGTAAAGAGGTTTATATCATTTTAAAACTACAGCCTTGTTATCTAATAAGGGAATTCATCAAAATCTTTCCATAAAAGACACCAACAACAAATTTTAAAAAATCATAATCAAGGATACTTCGGTGTATAACTCTCCATAACGTTTTAGAACAACATGGAATTGTGTTTTGGATGTGTACAAGAATGGATAAAAGAATGGATCATTTAAAACCTCAGTCACATTATCTAATAAGGGAATTCTTCAAAATCTTTCCATAAAAGCTTGTGGCATATCTCTATGAATAATTTGTTATAAATAACAGAGAGAAATCGTAGGGTTATTATCTATAACAGCAATACAAGTCAATTATTTGACTTAACAGGTTGAAAAAACAACGAATTAATCATATTTTTGTATTTTTCTCGATATCTATGCGTCTGAGAACAAAAATGCAAAAGAGCAATTTTGTTAAGAATAAAATATGCTACAACTTTCGTTCGAAAAGTTTTTCTGTAGCATGCTCAGATTCCCCAGTGTTACCATAAACAGGTTGAAAAAACAATGAATTCATCATATTTCCGTATTTTACAGAATAACTTATACCAACCAGAAGCAATGGAAAGATCATACTACTCTCAAAAAGAGACAGTTTCAACTGTATTGATCTGCCAAGTATCAAATCTGTAATAGTTATAGTTTAAAAGAAAAAATGTAGAGTCTTCAACAATCTTCAATAACACTTTTCAACTTGTTTTCGACTGTAGTACTACCTCTATAAATATTTAAACGTTGTTTTAAAACATCCTGTATATATATTAATTGTAATAAAGCTTCCGAGACAGGTTTTAACTGAGAGAAAGAGACATAACCTCAATTCAATTGACAGTTAATTTTTAGTTGCTCATAATTCTCTTAAAATTGTTGATATTCTTTCTAAACCATTCAAAATGGGAAGATTAGTGTCAGCTACATCTAATTTATTAAATTCCGGTAGATTTTAAACGATTTTGACTTTGCAAAATTGAACTTTAAATTTGTAAATTTCAAACTTCTTTTGTGGTTGGAGAATTTTGAAACCTCCAATGGATGGCGGAAATAGAAGGACATACTCATTAAATACGAAGTTTCAGCCAGAGTAGTGAAGAATTAAAGAAGATATTAATAAAATAAATGTTGGAATTTTGAGTGGTTCGAAAGAAATCCGCTAGATGGCGCTTTTTGACGTGTTGAAAGATTTGAAATTATTTTAAGGGAAGAAATGGCGCGAAACCCATCAACCAATCAGGAGCGAGGGTTAAAAATAGAAGGAAGAAATTTTTTGGAGAGGGGGAAAGGGGTATAAAAGAAAAGGAAAAAGTTGAAGCAAGATAGTCCAGTTTAGTAGGGGCAAGAACACGGTTGATTTTGATAAAAAAATCTAACCTAAAAAAAATCCTAAGTAGTTTCCTAACCTTAAAATTAGTTCAATTCAAATTTGACAACGAATCAAAATTATTTTAACCTAAAAAGGAAAAGAAGAAGAATTAAATTTAATTAAAAGAAGAAAAAAAATGAATTGAGAAGAAATTACCTGTTTCCTGAAATGTTTTCGAGGGCAGTTACCACTCTCCTAATCCAAACAATATCCGATTGAAGAATAATTATCCGAATCGAAGTTTTCCGGATTCCTGTCCATTTTCCATTCTTAAGAGGGACCTTCCAATCCAAGTTATTTATCAGATAAGTGGGAATTTTATTGTTCATATTCATGTCAATAATTCAAACTAACTTACGATTCTTTTGAAGAATCAAAATTGCACAATAACACTTATATTCGATTTGTTGTCGATCTGTCTTTGTTGGGGTTATACGCTCTCTTTCTCTCTCTCAGATAATGAAGTTAAAAATAGAAACCTGTAAAATTAATTTTCCTTTTTTTGAACCTGAACTTGCTATATTATTATTATTATTACTAAAACAATGTTTTAACTAAATCGAAAAAAAAATGGTTTAATACGTACGGGAATTTAAGTAAAATTATTAATTGTAACTTAATCCAACTTAACCTAAAAAGTGAGAAATGACATAAAAGTTTAATTGTCAAATTTTAGTGGTACCAACTTATAATATTTAGTTGTTTATTAAATTAATAAATTGTTAATTATTTGATATAAATGGGAATATTCGAAATAGGGAGATGAAATTTTGACATTTAACTTACATTTATTTATCTACACATTAATCTATAAATTTATCATACTAATTTAAATGACACAATTTTCATTTTTATCTTACAAAAATACATCAATAACCATCTAATTTTGTTTATATAATCTCTTTACATTTACAAAGACATAGATGTCACATTTTACACTTATTTATTAGCTTTACTAATCCTTACCTTAATTTATTTTAATTTAACACCGATATTTGTTAATTTACAAGTGAAATTTGGCACATTTATTCACTTTTGATAACGATTAGAACGAAAAAAACCAACGCAAATTCATTAAGATTGTCGTTAACGTTCTTTTACATCGTCCTTAATGAAACATTTTGAAAATTCCCCAAAACACTTTTTTTAAATTATACAAGTTAATCTCGACGCTTTGAAATCCGATCCCAAAAACGTTCAAAAAAACCAAAAAGAATGTGTGCGACACAACCATGTGTCGATAAAAATGATTTTCCATCAATAAATAAGTGGCCAAACCCGGCATCATTCCCCAAAACGCCAAAGAAATGTATTTGACACAATCGCTGTGTGGGTAACGAAGGGTTTTTCCATGCAGGAAATTCCCCGAATTAAAAAATTCTTTTAGGATACGTTCTTTAGATTCCCAACGTTCTTTTAGGAAAGAATTTAACCCGTCTTTAGTTTTTGGGAGGATGTCGCTTGGAAATCGCGTAAAATGGATTTTAATCATCTTGGGGAAATTTCCTTTTAAGATGTCGAGTTCTGTTTGAGGGATTGTATCGCAATACGCAATGGTGACGTCGTAAATCGCATCTAGGGAGTTAGTTTTTAATAATCGCGATGCGATGTAGGTGAATCCCGTGGTTCTTGGGTGCAGAACGTAATCGTATTTCTAAAAAGAATTTTTTTGGTGATTTTTTGTGTTTAAATTTTAATTTTTTACCTCTAAATTGTTTTTTTCTGCGTATTTATCGCTTAATTTCTTTGTTTTAGGGGTGAAATCGGTTCCTTCCGGGAAAATCATCATCGAAAACTTGTAGGATAAATCGATGAAGTAATCGAGGACGTTTTTGATCCGTTCTTTGTCAATCATCCAATCTCTTTTGAGGTAAGTGAAGCACGCTAATTGCATAACCCACCCTGGTCCAGGGATGTGTCTTATTGAGTCTTTTAGGACGAATTTTGTGGGGTAACTCGGATTGTTCTCCCCGGTTATTGCGTGGTGTAAAGCTGGCCATAAAAAATTCCAATCAGTTCGTGTTCGATGGTTCATAATGAGCAAAGAAGTTTCTTTCGAACTCACGTAATCTCCAGTTATTTGGATATCGCATTTGCATAAAATTTCTAAAAGGGCCTAAACAAATTTGTTTAATTAATTAACTAAAAAAATTATTTAAAATAAATTTACTTACAGTTGGATAAGTCTGCCAAATTGCGAATACGATATCGGTCATTTTGCGATAATTTTTATTCGAAATCAGCAATAACGGGAGTAATGGGCAAAATAAAACGACATAACCTGTTAATTTTTGAAATTAAATAAGAATTTGATTAATTTGTTGATAACTCACCGGCTAAAATGCTGCTGTACCATAAACAACAATAAGTTAAACCGAGTAAAAACCCCATTTTTGATTTAATTAATCGCGATATTTGTTTTTGAGATTTTACATTCTGGTTATCCGACGAAATTCGGAATCTCTAATTATTGATCGACATTCTGGACCCGGGATTCTGTTGAGCTCCTCCGGAAATTCCGGAAAAGCATGCGCGAGATTTGCGCTTTGAATGCTTTTATGAGCACAATATTATTATTAAAATGATCGGGAAATACTTTATGAAAATCATGTAAGACCCGTTCGAAGTCATGGTTGATTTTGATTTAAGTATAAGACGTAAAAAAGACGGGGGAGGCGAAATTAAATTATTGGAAAGAAGATTAAACTAATTCAATTTATTGTTATGCAAACAAATAATGTAATTATAAGAAAAAAAGTCAATTATTTTCTTTTATAAATCAATAATAATAACTGATGGAGAAAAATGTTTCGTACAAAAAAGGTTTAGAATTAACCCATAAAACATATCCAATAAGTTATTTGAATCCATCGTACAGTAGCACCAACCCAACGCAAAAATAAACCAGATTTTAATGTTTTTGACAGTTTTAGGTTATAACTTATTAGTTATGAATGATGGAGAATTACTTTTTAAACAAAAAACGTTTAGAATTAACTCATAAAATGTATTGCATAAAAATATTCATTCCAACAATCAGCATTACCAACCCAACCTAAGAAAAATGGAAATTTTGACGTTTTCAACCATTTTCTTTTATTATTCAATAATTATAACCGATGGAAAAAAAAACATATTATACAAAAAAGGTTTAGAATTAACCCATAAAGCATATCCAATCAGTTATTTTAATCCACCGATCAGCAGTACCAACCCAACTTGAGAAAGTTGGAAATTTTGACGTTTTCAACAATTTTCTTGTGTATCTCAATAATTATAACCGATGGAATAAAACATTTCATACAAAAAAGGTGTAAAATTAACCCACAAAGCATATTCAATAAGTTATTTTAATCCATCGTACAGTAGCACCAACCCAACGCAAAAGTTAACCAGATTTTAATGTTTTTGACAGTTTTAGGTTATAACTTATTAATTATGAATGATGGAGAATTACTTTTTAAACAAAAAACGTTTAGAATTAGCTCATAAAATGTATTGCATAAAGATATTCAGTCCAACAATCAGCATTACCAACCCAACCTAAGAAAAATGGAAATTTTGACGTTTTCAACAATTTTCTTTTATTATTCAATAATTATATCCGATGGAAAAAAACATTTTATACAAAAAAGGTGTAAAATTAACCCACAAAACATATCCAATAAGTTATTTTAATCCATCGTACAGTAGCACCAACCCAACGCAAAAATAAACCAAATTTTAATGTTTTTGACAGTTTTAGGTTATAACTTATTAGTTATGAATGATGGAGAATTACTTTTTAAACAAAGAACGTTTAGAATTAGCTCATAAAATGTATTGCATAAAGATATTCAGTCCAACAATCAGCATTACCAACCGAACCTAAGAAAAATGGAAATTTTGACGTTTTCAACAATTTTCTTTTATTATTCAATAATTATAACCGATAGAAAAAAACATTTCATACAAAAAAGGTTTAGAATTAACCTATAAAACATATCCAATTATTTATTTTAATCCACCGATCAGCAGTACCAACCCAACTTAAGAAAAGTATAAATTTTGAAGTATTCAACCATTTTCTTGTATAACTCAATAATTATAACCGATGGAAAAAAACATTTCAGAGAAAAAGGATTTAGAATTAACCCCTAAAATATATCCAATAAGTTATTTTAATCCACCGATCAGCAGTACCAACCCAACCTAAGAAAAATAGAAATTTTGACGTTTTCAACGATTTTCTTTTATGACTCAATAATTATAGCCGATGGAAAGAAACATTTCATACAAAAAAGGTTTAGAATTAACCTATAAAACATATCCAATTAGTTATCTTAATCCACCGATCAGTAGTACCAACCCAACTTAAGAAAAGTATAAATTTTGACGTTTTCAACAATTTTCTTTTATGACTCAATAATTATAGCCGATGGAAAGAAACATTTCATACAAAAAAGGTTTAGAATTAACCCATAAAACATATCCAATAAGTTATTTAAATCCACCGATCAGCAGTACCAACCCAACTTAAGAAAAGTATAAATTTTGACGTTTTCAACAATTTTGTTTTATGACTCAATAATTATAGCCGATGGAAAGAAACATTTCATACAAAAAAGGTTTAGAAAGAACCTATAAAACATATCCAATTAGTTATTTTAATCCACCGATCAACAGTACCAACCCAACTTAATAAAAGTATAAATTTTGACGTTTTCAACAATTTTCTTTTATGACTCAATAATTATAGCCGATAGAAAGAAACAATTCATACAAAAAAGGTTTAGGAAGAACCTATAAAACATATCCAATTAGTTGTTTTAATCCACCGATCAGCAGTACCAACCCAACTTAATAAAAGTATAAATTTTGACGTTTTCAACAATTTTCTTTTATGACTCAATAATTATAGCCGATAGAAAGAAACAATTCATACAAAAAAGGTTTAGGAAGAACCTATAAAACATATCCAATTAGTTGTTTTAATCCACCGATCAGCAGTACCAACCCAACTTAATAAAAGTATAAATTTTGACGTTTTCAACAATTTTCTTTTATGACTCAATAATTATAGGCGATGGAAAAAAACATTTCATACAAAAAAGGTTTAGAATTAACATATAAAACATATCCAATCAGTTATTTTAATCCACCGATCAGCAGTACCAACCCAACGTGAGAAAGATGGAAATTTTAACTTTTTCAACAATTTTCTTATATAACTCAATAATTATAACCGATAGAGAAAAACATTTCATACAAAAAAAGTTTAGAATTAACCCATAAAACATATCCATTAAGTTATTTAAATCCACCGATCAGCAGTACCAACCCAACTTAAGAAAAATAGAAATTTTGACGTTTTTAACAGTTTTCTTTTATAATTCAATAGTTATAACCTTTGATTATATATAAAAAACATTTTATACAAAAAAGGTGTAAAATTAACCCACATAACATATCCAATAAGTTATTTTAATCCATCGTACAGTAGCACCAACCCAACGCAAAAATAAACCAAATTTTAATGTTTTTGACAGTTTTAGGTTATAACTTATTAATTATGAATGATGGAGAATTACTTTTTAAACAAAAAACGTTTAGTTTTAGCTCATAAAATGTATTGCATAAAGATATTCAGTCCAACAATCAGCATTTCCTACCCAACCTAAGAAAAATGGAAATTTTGACGTTTTCAACAATTTTCTATTATTATTCAATAATTATAACCGATAGAAAAAAACATTTCATACAAAAAAGGTTTAGAATTAACCTATAAAACATATCCAATTAGTTATCTTAATCCACCGATCAGTAGTACCAACCCAATTTAAGAAAAGTATAAATTTTGAAGTTTTCCACCATTTTCTTGTATAACTCAATAATTATAACCGATGGAAAGAAACATTTCATACAAAAAAGGTTTAGAAAGAACCTATAAAACATATCCAATTAGTTATTTTAATCCACCGATCAGCAGTACCAACCCAACTTAATAAAAGTATAAATTTTGACGTTTTCAACAATTTTCTTTTATGACTCAATAATTATAGCCGATAGAAAGAAACAATTCATACAAAAAAGGTTTAGAAAGAACCTATAAAACATATCCAATTAGTTATTTTAATCCACCGATCAGCAGTACCAACCCAACTTAATAAAAGTATAAATTTTGACGTCTTCAACAATTTTCTTTTATGACTCAATAATTATAGCCGATGGAAAGAAACATTTCATACAAAAAAGGTTTAGAATTAACATATAAAACATATCGAATTAGTTATTTTAATCCACCGATCAGCAGTACCAACCCAACCCAAGAAAAATAGAAATTTTGACATTTTTAACAATTTTCTTTTATAACTGAATAGTTATAACTGATGGAAAAAAGCATTTCATACAAAAAAGGTTTGAAATTGATCTATAAAACATATCCAATTAGTTATTTTAATCCACCGATCAGCAGTACCAACCCAACTTAATAAAAGTATAGATTTTGACGTTTTTAACAATTTTCTTGTATAACTCAATAAATATAACTAATAGAAAAACATGTTTCGTACAAAGACGGTTTAGAATTAACCCATAAAATATATCCAATAAGTTATTTTATTCCATCGATCAGTAGTACCAATCCAACCCAAAAATAAAACTAAATTTTAGTGTTTTTCTTTTGTATATCCAGTTATTGTTATGATTTATTATTACTTTATTACTATTATTTATGAACAAAATAATATAAATATTATCTCAAAAAGTAAACGTTTTAAATTAATACAATCTAAATTACCTAAATTACATATGTTGTAATCCACTACAGAACTAAAAATATGTCGAATAAATACAATAAATTACAACAAAACTTATTAATAACTTAACCAATAAATCCAAATAATATAATCTTGTCAACAATCTCCTAGCTTTCGGTAAAGTTTCCGGTCCTTCTTTCATACAATATTTTCGTGCCCCCAAAACATACAATAAAATGTATTCGTCCCAATTCATGTCACTCATATCTGAAAAGAACAACTTTTTATCAACATCATTCATATTTTGTTCGATTTTTTTGATTTTATCATGCTTGAAGATCCAATTTCTTGTCGTGTAATATTGTAGGACTTCTAACCCGGTTGATATCCTCTTTTGGGTGTTAACAAGACTAAAAAATTCATTTTATTACTTCATTATTAAAAAAAAATGATTCCCTTACAAAGGTTTTTGTCCAATCATAGGCATTATAAAATCAATAAAATAAGCAGGGATGTAGTGCAAAAAAAATACCGCTAATAAATGAGCGAAATAAGAAGTTTTAATGCTTCCATAAGGATACCATAAGCAAATACTAAAAGGGTTCTCGTAAAAATGTTTTTTTCCCATTTCCAAAGCGGATCCCCAAGAAATTGGGTTTTCCTAAAACAAATTTGATTTAATTTTATTATAAAAAGTTTGGTTTTATTTAATTTACGCTGTCACAGCTTATATTGTAAACTTCTGGTTCTTTATTAACACTATTTGCCACAAAATCTTTCGTGACGATTAACATTCGGTTTACGGAAACGTCCACAGGAACCAAATCGGCGAAATAATCTGGATTGCAATGCATTGAGCGGATTATTCCTTTCCCAGCTCCGACCAAAATTCCTGTTGGGCCGTTTAAGTTATCCACCCAACCCGGCATTGGTTCTTTTAAAGCTGCGGTAACTAATCAAAAAAAAATCATTGATTATTATGCTTAATTTGGTTTAAATAATCTTACCTATTGAGGGTCTAACGACGACTATTGGTAAAAATTCCGAATACTCCTTAATTAAATGCTCGGTAAGACGTTTTGTGTAAGCGTAAGTATTCGGGAAGTTCTTTATAAGATACGGGGTGATTGCTTTTAGATCTTCGGCGGATAATAAATTGGTTAATTCGAGAATCGCTCTGAAATTCATTAAAAAATTAATTTTTGAGGTTATAAATTTGAAGTTGACGTTTGTTGAACGATTAAAAAAATTTAAGTTGGTAATAAATCTGAATTTAGTCACTGCCGATAAGTTAGATTTTTATTTTTTTCTGTCAATTCGTGTTGTCAAAAAGTTAGTTTTAAAAACGTTTTTTAAAAATAAATTGGTAAGTTTTAATATAAATTAATTATTATAACGTTATATTTTACCTTGGATGATGAGGTGCCGGATATAACTCCTCGTCCAAAACATCCCTTTCACAATAACAAAACGTCGTCGAAACGTGCACAAAAGCTTGGATGTTCTTAAAATGTTTAATAACGTCCAAAACGCGTTTTGTTCCGCCTGTATTCATTTGCAAGGCGGTTTTTAAATCTTGATCGAACCGCACATTCGCGGCCATATGAAAGACGATGTTTACGTTATTTTTTAAATCGTTAAAATCGTTTTCGGTTAGATTTAAGTTATCTTCGAGGACATCTCCGGGGATGACTTTGAATTTCTTTTTCAAATTTGATTGATCGAGGTCGATGTTTTCAAAAATGGGTTGATTGAAAAAGTCTTGTAAACGCTCTTCCGGAGATTTTCCTTTTTTCGAACGAATTAAAATGTAAATCGTTCCCGTGTTGGGGCAACATCTTAGAAGTTTTTCGATTAGGACCTTTCCCATAAATCCAGTTGAACCGGTGATAAATATATTTTTGTTGGTATAAAATTTTACAATTTCAGACATATTTTTAATTACAAATTCAAATTTATGTTGATTTTTTCCTACTTCAATATCAACCTTCGCTTAACTCAATAAGAAAAGTAAAAGTGATCTATTTAATTAATAAAACAAAGTTAATTTAATTAATTAAAAGATAATTTTGACTCACCTTTTTGATTAAAATTTTTTTTAAACACTTCACTTAATTTTTATTAATTTATTTATTTATTTATTTTCTAGGCTTGGTTCAAAGATGTAACAGCACCTGTTTCTTGGAGTGTTGTGTATTGAGAATGGTCGTGTTACAACACAAAACGTTTTGATATAAACTTTTCTCACAACGAAACTCGGCTTGCAACGTTCGAAGTAGGGGTATAGAAAGGTTAAGACTCGATGGTTCAATGTAAGTCTATTGGATTATAACATTTTCAATCTTTGCGTGACTAATAAACACTATAACCTGGGCTATTTTTAAATTGCAGCTCGATTTAAATGCAGGAAATGCAATTTTTATTAACAAATTATATTTACCTTTTAATTTATAAGGTTTTAATGATTGCTCATTTTTCAGGTTCGCATAAGATTGGAGCTAGCAGGAGTCCAAACACTTAGGTATAGTATAAGAATGATTATTAGCTAAAATTATTTGCGAGGAGGCAAGGAGCAACCTTACTAATAAATAGATTTATTGAGAAAACATGATTTTCCCTAAACGGTTAGGATTTAAGTAATGAAACTTTTTGAGGTTATAAAGGAACCTTTCAGGTTCAGTTATACCAAATTTTAAGATTCCACGGTAATCGATGCATTTTATATAAATTTTTAAAAATCACCTGCTTCAATTTGACGTTTTTAAAAGAGAGGTTAATGAAAAAAAATTATTTCACCCAAACGGTTAGGATTTAAGAAATGAAACTTTTTGAGGTTATATAGCAACGTTTGAGGTTAGGTTGTACCAAATTATAAGCTTCCAGAGTGATCACTTTATTTTATAAACATTTTTAAAAATGATTAAATATGACGTTTGATGGAAGTAAGGTTATAGCAAAAAAATTGATTTCTCCTAAACGGTTAGGATTTAAGAAATGAAACTTTTTGAGGTTATAAAGGAACGTTTGAGGTTAGGTTGTACCAAATTATAAGCTTCCAGAGTGATCACTTTATTTTATAAACATTTTTAAAAATGATTAAATATGACGTTTGATGGAAGTAAGGTTATAGCAAAAAAATTGATTTCTCCTAAACGGTTAGGATTTAAGAAATGAAACTTTTTGAGGTTATAAAGGAACGTTTGAGGTTAGGTTGTACCAAATTATAAGCTTCCAGAGTGATCACTTTATTTTATAAACATTTTTAAAAATGATTAAATATGACGTTTGATGGAAGTAAGGTTATAGCAAAAAAATTGATTTCTCCTAAACGGTTAGGATTTAAGAAATGAAACTTTTTGAGGTTATAAAGGAACGTTTGAGGTTAGGTTGTACCAAATTATAAGCTTCCAGAGTGATCACTTTATTTTATAAACATTTTTAAAAATGATTAAATATGACGTTTGATGGAAGTAAGGTTATAGCAAAAAAATTGATTTCTCCTAAACGGTTAGGATTTAAGAAATGAAACTTTTTGAGGTTATAAAGGAACGTTTGAGGTTAGGTTGTACCAAATTATAAGCTTCCAGAGTGATCACTTTATTTTATAAACATTTTTAAAAATGATTAAATATGACGTTTGATGGAAGTAAGGTTATAGCAAAAAAATTGATTTCTCCTAAACGGTTAGGATTTAAGAAATGAAACTTTTTGAGGTTATAAAGGAACGTTTGAGGTTAGGTTGTACCAAATTATAAGCTTCCAGAGTGATCACTTTATTTTATAAACATTTTTAAAAATGATTAAATATGACGTTTGATGGAAGTAAGGTTATAGCAAAAAAATTGATTTCTCCTAAACGGTTAGGATTTAAGAAATGAAACTTTTTGAGGTTATAAAGGAACGTTTGAGGTTAGGTTGTACCAAATTATAAGCTTCCAGAGTGATCACTTTATTTTATAAACATTTTTAAAAATGATTAAATATGACGTTTGATGGAAGTAAGGTTATAGCAAAAAAATTGATTTCTCCTAAACGGTTAGGATTTAAGAAATGAAACTTTTTGAGGTTATAAAGGAACGTTTGAGGTTAGGTTGTATCAAATTATAAGCTTCCAGAGTTGTTACTTTATTTTATAAATATTTTTAAAAATGACTTATTCAATATGACGTTTAATGGAAGTAAGGTTAAAAGAAAAAAATTGGTTTCTCCTAAACGATTATGATTTAAGAAATGAAACTTTTTGAGGTTACAAAGGAACGTTTCAGGTTAGGTTGTACCAAATTATAATCTTCCAGAGTGATCACTTTATTTTATAAACATTTTTTAAAATGACTTATTGAATATGACGTTTGATGGAAGTAAGGTTATAACAAAAAAATTGATTTCTCCTAAACGGTTAAGATTTAAGAAATGAAACTTTTTGAGGTTATAAAGGAACGTTTGAGGTTAGGTTGTACCAAATTATAAGCTTCCAGAGTGATGACTTTATTTTATAAAAATTTTTAAAAATGACTAATTGAATATGACGTTTAATGGAAGTTAGGTTATAGCAAGAAAATTAATTTCTTCTAAACGGTTAAGATTTAAGAAATGTAACTTTTTGAGGTTATAAAGGAATGTTTTAGGTTAGGTTGTACCAAATTATAAGCTTCCAGAGTGATCACTTTATTTTATAAAAATTTTTAAAAATGACTGATTGAATATGACGTTTAATAGAAGTTAGGTTATAGCAAAAAAATTAATTTCTTCTAAACGGTTAAGATTTAAGAAATGAAACTTTTTGAGGTTATAAAGGAACGTTTTAGGTTAGGTTGTACCAAATTATAATATTCCAGAGTGATCACTTTATTTTATAAACATTTTTTAAAATGATTAAATATGACGTTTGATGGAAGTAAGGTTATAGCCAAAAAATTGATTTCTCCTAAACGGTTGGCATTTAAGAAATGAAACTTTTTGAGGTTATAAAGGAACGTTTGAGGTTAGGTTGTACCAAATTATAAGCTTCCAGAGTGATCACTTTATTTTATAAACATTTTAAAAATGACTTATTGAATATGACGTTTAATGGAAGTAAGGTTAAAAGAAAAAAATTGATTTCTCCTAAACGGTTATGATTTAAGAAATGAATCTTTTTGAGGTTATAAAGGAACGTTTTAGGTTAGGTTGTGCCAAATTATAAAATTCCAGAGTGATCACTTTATTTTATAAACATTTCCAAAATGACTTATTGAATACGACGTTTAATGGAAGTAAGGTTATAACAAAAAAATTGATTTCTCCTAAACGGTTAGGATTTAAGAAATGAAACTTTTTGAGGTTATAAAGGAACGTTTGAGGTTAGGTTGTATCAAATTATAAGCTTCCAGAGTTGTTACTTTATTTTATAAATATTTTTAAAAATGACTTATTCAATATGACGTTTAATGGAAGTAAGGTTAAAAGAAAAAAATTGATTTCTCCTAAACGATTATGATTTAAGAAATGAAAGTTTTTGAGGTTTCAAAGGAACGTTTCAGGTTAGGTTGTACCAAATCATAATCTTCCAGAGCGATCACTTTATTTTATAAACATTTTTTAAAATGACTTATTGAATACGACGTTTAATGGAAGTAAGGTTAAAAGAAAAAAATTGATTTCTCCTAAACCGTTATGATTTAAGAAATGAAACTTTTTGAGGTTATAAAGGAACGTTTTAGGTTAGGTTGTACCAAATTATAACCTTCCAGAGTGATCACTTTATTTTATAAACATTTTTTAAAATGACTAATTGAATATGACGTTTGATGAAAGTAAGGTTAAAGCAAAAAAACTGGTTCCTCCTAAACGGTTAGGATTTAAGAATTGAAACTTTTTGAGGTTATAAAGGAACGTTTCAAGTTAAATTGTACCAAATTATAACATTCCAGAGTGATCACTTTATTTTATAAACATTTTAAAAAATGTAAATCAAATTCGTTTTTGCACTTTAAATGGATATTTTATTTTTATTTCTCTACCGGTTTCGCCACATAATTATAGCATCATCAGGAGAATACCTATATTAATACAAAACACTTTATATGTTAATCTTAAAACAAGCGCGTTACATTATTTGAACTATTACATGAACATTTTAAAACAACTTACGTCAATGGTTACAAAAGCATCCTATGATAGAAATTACTGGGCATTTCTTTATGTATTTTCACCCTTAAATTACACTGAGAATCTTATAAAATTGCGATTAGAGATTATTAAATTTTATGAAACTTTATTGCATTATGCACCTTGCCGCTAAAGTTGATTTGAGGTTAAGGGTCATATGTTGATTTGGGGAAATTTCGTTTTTGTTGTTTTGAAATCCTCGTCTCTCAGGGTTTTTTTTTATTGGGTAGAAGACTATTATATAATCTATATAGACTGTTTGGGGTCGTTTATGGGATGAGGATAAGCTAGAAAGGATGGGGATGATGTCCATGGGACCCAGATTTGTGCGACTTCAAAATGACATCAAGTTTTGAAGTCCTCGTCTATCTGGGGGTTTACGGGGTGGGGTGTAAAGTTGTTTTAGGAATGAATAGAGTGGTTTATGTGTTGTCTGGATTTGGTCGTTTAGACATGTTAGATCTGGGTTATTATTTATGAATTTTTTGATTTCGTATCCTTCAAGGATTTCCATGAGGTATCTCTTGTTAATGTGATGTAATATTTTTATGTTTTTATCTTCGTCATATTCGAGGTTGAGGTTAAAGGTTATGTGTTTAGCAAAATTAGAGTTATGTTTTATTTTGTGCTCCCTAATTCGTAATTTGAGGGTTCTGCCTGTTTCGCTCCAATGTAGGTTGCATGACAAGTTTCACACTGCAGCTCATACACTCCATTATCATCCAATTGGTTTATTTTGTCTTTGTTGTTTATAAGTAGGTTGCCTATGTATGGTCTTGTTTGGTTTATCTGAAATTAGAATATCATATTGTTTCATGGTTTGTTTAATTTTGTTATTAATATTTCCTTGGTGTGTAATGGATCTGTAGTTTTTGATTTTTTGTGTCTACTGATTTTGTAGTTGTGTGGTATTTGTATTTGTGTGGCTTCCAGAGTGATCACTTTATTTTATAAACATTTTTCAATATTACTGATTGAATATGACGTTTGATGGAAGTAAGGTTATAACAAAAATTTGATTTCTCCTAAACGGTTAAGATTTAAGAAATGAAACTTTTTGAGGTTATAAAAGAACGTTTGAGGTTAGGTTATACCAAATTATAAGTTTCCAGAGTGATCACTTTATTTTATAAAAATTTAAAAAAATGACTAATTGAATATGACGTTTGATGGAAGTAATGTTATAACAAAAAAATTGATTTCACCCAAACGGTTCGGATTTAAGAAATGTAACTTTTTGAGGTTATAAAGGAACGTTTCAGGTTAAGTTACACCAAATTTTAACATACAATTTAATTATACTTTAATTATTTATAATGAATAAAAAGATTCAAGGATGTATTAGATGATTTTTTTGTAAAATACTTACNATCACTTTATTTTATAAAAATTTTTAAAAATGACTGATTGAATATGACGTTTAATAGAAGTTAGGTTATAGCAAAAAAATTAATTTCTTCTAAACGGTTAAGATTTAAGAAATGTAACTTTTTGAGGTTATAAAGGAACGTTCTAGGTTAGGTTGTACCAAATTATAACATTCCAGAGTGATCACTTTATTTTATAAACGTTTTTTAAAATTACTGATTGAATATGATGTTTAATTGAAGTTAGGTTATAGCAAAAAAATTAATTTTTCCTAAACGGTTAGGATTTAAGAAATGAAACTTTTTGAGGTTATAAAGGAACGTTTGAGGTTAGGTTGTATCAAATTATAAGCTTCCAGAGTTGTTACTTTATTTTATAAATATTTTTAAAAATGACTTATTGAATATGACGTTTAATGGAAGTTAGGTTATAGCAATAAAATTAATTTCTTCTAAACAGTTAAGATTTAAGAAATGAAACTTTTTGAGGTTATAAAGGAACGTTTTAGGTTAGGTTCTACCAAATTATAATTTTCCAGAATGATCACTTTATTTTATAAACATTTTTAAAAATGATTAAATATGACGTTTGATGGAAGTAAGGTTATAACAAAAAAATTGATTTCTCCTAAACGGTTAGGATTTAAGAAATGAAACTTTTTGAGGCTATAAAGGAACGTTTTAGGTTACGTTGTGCCAAATTATAACCTTCCAGAGCGATCACTTTATTTTATAAACATTTTTTAAAATGACTAATTGAATATGACGTTTGATGAAAGTAAGGTTATAGCAAAAAAATTGATTTCTCCTAAACGGTTAGGATTTAAGAAATGAAACTTTTAGAGGTTATAAAGGAACGCTTCAGGTTAGGTTGTACCAAATTATAACATTCCAGAATGATCACTTTATTTTATAAACATTTTTAAAAATGTAAATAAAATTCGTTTCTGCACTTTAAATGGATATTTTATTTTTATTTCTCTACCGGTTTCGCCACATAATTATAGCATCATCAGGAGAATAGCTATATTAATACAAAACACTTTATATGTTAATCTTAAAACAAGCGCATTACATTATTGGAACTATTACATTAACATTTTAAAACAACTTACGTCAATGGTTACAAAAGCATCCTATGATAGAAATTACTGGGCATTTCTTTATGTATTTTCACCCGTAAATTTCACTGAGAATCTTATAAAATTGCGATTAGAGAGGATATGTTGATTTGGGGAAATTTCGTTTTTATTGTTTGGTAGAATCGTGGATGTTGCTGACGTCTTATTTAAATTTGAAATAATAAAATAGTTATTAAAACTATCTTAAAAAAGGGGGATTGTTTAGAAAGGTGGGGATTTATATGGTTAAGGGTAGGATATAAAAGGATAGGTGTGATGTCCATGGAACCCAGAGTAGTGCGATTTCAAAGTGACATCTTGTTTTGAAATCCTCGTCTCTCTGGGTTTTCTTTTTATTGGGTAGAAGACTATTATAGAATCTATATAGACTGTTTGGGGTCGTTTATGGGATGAGGATAAGCTAGAAAGGATGGGGGTGATGTCCATGGGACCCAGATTAGTGCGACTTCAAAATGACATCATGTTTTGAAGTCCTCGTCTATCTGGGGGTTTACGGGGTGGTGTGTAAGGTTGTTTTAGGAATGAATAGAGTGGTTTATGTGTTGTCTGGATTTGGTCGTTTAGACATGTTACATCTGGGTTATTATTTATGAATTTTCTGATTTCGTATTCTTCAAAGATTTCCATGAGATATCTCTTGTTAATGTGATGTAATATTTTTGTGTTTTTATCTTCGTCATATTCGTGGTTGAGGTTAAAGGTTATGTGTTTACCAAAATTAGAGTTATGTTTTATTTTGTGCTCCCTAATTCGTAATTTGAGGGTTCTGCCTGTCTCTCCAATGTAGGTTGCATGACAAGTTTCACACTGCAGCTCATACACTCCATTATCATCCAATTGGTTTATTTTGTCTTTGTTGTTTACGAGTAGGTTGCCTATGGTCTTGTTTGGTTTATCTGAAATTAGAATATCATATTGTTTCATGGTTTGTTTTATTTTGTTATTAATATTTCCTTGGTGTGTAATGGATCTGTAGTTTTTGATTTTTTGTGTCTGCTGATTTTGTAGTTGTGTGGTATTTGTATTTGTGTGGCTTCTAGAGTGATCACTTCATTTTAAAAATATTTTTCAAAATTACTGATTGAATATGACATTTGATGAAAGTAAGATTATAACAAAAAAATTGATTTCTCCTAAACGGTTAGGATTTAAGAAATGAAACTTTTTGAGGTTATAAAGGAACGTTTTAGGTTAGGTTGTACCAAATTATAATCTTCCAGAGTGATCACTTTATTTTATAATCATTTTTAAAAATGATTAAATATGACGTTTGATGGAAGTAAGGTTATAACAAAAAAATTGATTTCTCCTAAACGGTTAGAATTTAAGAAATGAAATTTTTTGAGGTTATAAAGGAACGTTTCACGTTAGGTTGTACCAAATTATAACATTCCAGAGTGATCACTTTATTTTATAAACATTTTTAAAAATGACTGATTGAATATGACATTTAATGGAAGTTAGGTGATAGCAAAAAAATTAATTTCTTCTAAACAGTTAAGATTTAAGAAATGTAACTTTTTGAGGTTATAAAGGAACGTTTCAGGTTAAGTTACACCAAATTTTAACATACAATTTAATTATACTTTAATTATTTATAATGGATAAAAAGATTCAAGGATGTATTAGGTGATTTTTTTGTAAGACACTTACTTATGTCATATACTTTGTGGTTTTTACACAGAATTGATGTTTAAAATTGGAATTTACATACAAATTACACTCGTTCTCTTACATTTAATGCATATTTATTTTGCACTTGGTAAATGATGAGTAAATAAGATTCCAATCATCTTGACGTAACTAGAAAAATTGTGAAAAAGTTACAAATTGATTTTAACTTAACTAATCATTTTTATTCAATATTTATTTTTTTGATTAAATCAGTTTTGAGTTTTTTAACAAATCTTTTTTAAATGAGAAAAGAATTTTTAAAAGATGTGTCACTTTCTGACGTAATCAAACGTTGACATAGCAACTCTATTAAGACAATACAAACAATGAAACGTCATTTTTGGATTGTTGTGAAATCGTTCTTAAAGATTTCTTTCGATTTCTTTTTAAGTAATCACATAAAAATTAACGTATCTGATGTAATTTTTTGTTGTAGGAAAGAATTTTACGCGCCGCTCAATGATATATTCAAATCGATCGTGTGCGTGACACACTTTCGCTTAAGACAATGATTATAAGAGGAATTGATACAAATCTTATTTATTTTTCGATGTTAATTAAGCAAGTAAGAAAAAGTATGTTTAACTTTTAAGTTTACGACCGGCGTGATTACGTCGGCAAACTCAAAACAAAAATGAATTTACGCCCATACGCTTAGCGTTCGTTCGCATAGAATAAAATTCTTGAGCAAACTTTCACTTGATTTCTACAATTCGCTACTTAACATATTTCGCGTTTGAAACACGTACCATTTTCCGGGGAATTTTTAATAAAATTATTTTATTGAATTGAATGTACAAAGAGTAAATCATGTTTTATTCAAGAATACTTTTTTGTGTCAATAATATTTACCAATTTGCGCAATTTTTATTTTTAACCTTGCTAAACACAAATACGTTAAATAAATTTAGGAATTTAAACAATTCGTTTTGGTTAATTTCAGATTTGAGGAGTCACCCAATAAGGAATCATTTTTAACAACATTTATAGAACATTCTAAAGTTAATGTTGATTGTAGACCACGGATTGTAAAGGTTAGTAACTTATTACAAGTTATTACTAATATTAATTAATTTAAATTATTATTTCTTATAAATTAAATTAGTGGCGCCATCTATGAGGTTATAGTTTAAGTTTAAATTTAGGCAACCCAATTTACCCCTTTTAATAATTATTTATAGAAATAAAATATACAAAATATTAATTAAACAAAGCAAAGTTTAATACATTTTCGCTAAAAAGTCTCTATATTTTTCGAAATGAGTCAATAAATGTTTTAATCATAACGGGTCGGTGAAAGTAAATAAATGGATTGAGGTTGTGTCATAAGTGCAAAAGTATATCAAAATATTTACTATAAATTGTGTTCTTCCTAAACATAAATACGTTAAATAAATTTAGGAATTTAAACAATTCGTTTTGGTTAATTTCAGGTTTGAGGAGTCACCCAATGAGGAATCATTTTTAACAACATTTATGGAACAGTCTAAAGTTAATGTTGATTGTAGACCACGGATCGTAAAGGTTAGTAACTCATTATTAATATTAATTAATTTAAATTATTAATTTTTATAAATTAAATTAGTGGCGCCATCTATGAGATTATTGTTTAAGTTTAAATTTAGGCAACCCAATTTACACCTTTTAATAATTATTTATAATAATAAAATTTCATACAAAATATTAATTAAACGAAGCATACTTTAANTGGTGTCAATAATATTTACCAATTTGCGCAATTTTTATTTTTAACCTTGCTAAACACAAATACGTTAAATAAATTTAGGAATTTAAACAATTCGTTTTGGTTAATTTCAGATTTAAGGAGTCACCCAGTGAGGAATCATTTTTAACAACATTTATGGAATATTCTAAAATTAATGTTGATTGTAGACCACGGATCGTAAAGGTTAGTAACTCATTATTAATAAAAATTAATTTAAATTATTAATTTTTATAAATTAAATTAGAGGCGCCATCTATGAGGTTATTGCTTAAGTTTAAATTTAGGCAACCCAATTTACACCTTTTAATAATTATTTATAATAATAAAATTTCATACAAAATATTAATTAAACGAAGCAAACTTTAATACATTTTCGTTAAAAAGTCTCTGTATTTTTCAAAATGAGTCAATAAATGTTTTAATCATAACGGGTTGGTGAAATTAAATAAATGGATTGAGGTTATGTCATAAGTGCAAAAATATATCAAAACATTTACTATAAATTGTGTTCTTCCTAAACACAAAGACGTTAAATAAATTTAGGAATTTAAACAATTCGTTTTGATTAATTTCAGATTTAAGGAGTCACCCAATAAGGAATCATTTTTAACAACATTTATAGAACATTCTAAAGTTAATGTTGATTGTAGACCACGGATCGTAAAGGTTAGTAACTCATTATTAATATTAATTAATTTAAATTATTAATTTTTATAAATTAAATTAGTGGCGCCATCTATGAGGTTATTGTTTAAGTTTAAATTTAGGCAACCCAATTTACACCTTTTAATAATTATTTATAGTAATAAAATATCATACAAAATATTAATTAAACAAAGCAAAGTTTAATACATTTTCGTTAAAAAGTCTCTATATTTTTCGAAATGAGTCAATAAATGTTTTAATCATAACGGGTTGGTGAAAGTAAATAAATGAATTGAGGTTATGTCATAAGTGCAAAAATATATCAAAACATTTACTATAAATTGTGTTATTCCTAAACACAAAGACATTAAATAAATTTAGGAATTTAAACAATTCGTTTTAGTTAATTTCAGATTTAAGGAGTCACCCAATAAGAAATCATTTTTTACAACATTTATGGAACATTCTAAAGTTAATGTTGCATCTAGACCGCGGATTGTAAAGGTTAGTAACTCATTGTTAATATTAATTAATTTAAATTATTAATTTTTATAAATTGGATTAGTGGCGCCATCTATGAGGTTATTGTTTAAGTTTAAATTTAGGCAACCCAATTTATACCTTTTAATAATTATTTATAATAATAAAATTTCATACAAAATATTAATTAAACGAAGCATACTTTAATACATTTTCGTTAAAAAGTCTTTATATTTTTCGAAATGAGTCAATAAATGTTTTAATCATAACGGGTCGGTGAAAGTAAATAAATGGATTGAGGTTGTATCATAAGTGCAAAAATATATCAAAACATTTACTATAAATTGTATTCTTCCTAAACACAAATACGTTAAATAAATTTAGGAATTTAAANAAATGGATTGAGGTTATGTCATAAGTGCAAAAATATATCAAAACATTTACTATAAATTGTGTTCTTCCTAAACACAAATACGTTAAATAAATTTATTAATTTAAACAATTCGTTTTGGTTAATTTCAGATTTAAGGAGTCACCCAATAAGAAATCATTTTTTACAAGATTTATGGAACATTCTAAAGTTAATGTTGCATCTAGATCGCGGATTGTAAAGGTTAGTAACTCATTGTTAATATTAATTAATTTAAATTATTAATTTTTATAAATTGAATTAGTGGCGCCATCTATGAGGTTATTGTTTAAGTTTAAATTTAGGCAACCCAATTTACACCTTTTAATAATAATTATTTATAATAAAATTTCATACAAAATATTAATTAAACGAAGCAAACTTTAATACATTTTCGTTAAAAAGTCTCTATATTTTTCAAAATCAGTCAATAAATGTTTTAATCATAACGGGTTGGTAAAAGTAAATAAATGGATTGAGGTTATGTTATAAGTGCAAAAATATATCAAAACATTTACTATAAATTGTATTCTTCCTAAACACAAATACGTTAAATAAATTTAGGAATTTAAACAATTCGTTTTGGTTAATTTCAGATTTAAGGTGTCACCCAATGAGGAATCATTTTTAACAACATTTATGGAACATTCTAAAGTTAATGTTGATTGTAGACCACGGATCGTAAAGGTTAGTAACTCATTATTAATATTAATTAATTTATATTATTAATTTTTATAAATTAAATTAGTGGCGCCATCTATGAGGTTATTGTTTAAGTTTAAATTTAGGCAACCTAATTTACACCTTTTAATAATTATTTATAATAGAATTTCATACAAAATATTAATTAAACGAAGCAAACTTTAATACATTTTCGTTAAAAAGTCTCTGTATTTTTCGAAATGAGTAAATAAATGTTTTAATCATAACCGGTCGGTGAAAGTAAATAAATGGATTGAGGTTGTGTTATAAGTGCAAAAGTATATCAAAATATTTACTATAAATTGTGTTCTTCCTAAACACAAATACGTTAAATAAATTTAAGAATTTAAACAATTCGTTTTGGTTAATTTCAGATTTGAGGAGTCACCCAATGAGGAATCATTTTTAACAACATTTATGGGACAATCTAAAGTTAGTGTTGATTGTAGACCACGGATCATAAAGGTTAGTAACTCATTATTAATATTAATTAATTTAAATTATTAATATTTATAAATTAAATTAGTGGCGCCATCTGTAAGGTGATTATTAAAGTTTAAATTTAGGCAACCCAATTTACACCTTACAATAATAAAATTAATATAATTATAATATTAAAATTTCATACAAAATATTAATTAAACAAAGCAAACTTTATTACATTTTCGTTAAAAAGTCTCTACATCTTGCGAAATGAGTCAATACATGTTAGTAACTCATTATTAATATTAATTAAATTAAATTATTAATTTTTATAAATTAAATTGGTGGCGCCATCTATGAGGTGATGATTAAAGTTTAAATTTAGGCAACCCAATTCACACCTTTTAATAATTATTTATAATAAAATTTCATACAAAATATTAACTATACGAAGCAAACTTTAGTACATTTTCGTTAAAAAGTCTCTACATCTTTCGAAATGATTCAATAAATGTTTTAATCATAACTAGTCGGTGAAAGTAAATAAATGGATTGAGGTTATGTCATAAGTGCAAAAATTTATCAAAACGTTTATTATAAATCATTAATAAATATTATACGTTATGAATATGGAACAAAAAGATAAGTTTTATACTCAACTCGAAGAAATTATAAAAAGAAAAAATACAAATCACGTTTATTTAAGTAAAAGCATGTACGACCAAATTATACTTGATGTAAAATTGGCAAAGCGTAAAAAGGCGCATAAAAGCTCTCTTGATTATCGGCGATTAAAACGGTATGATGTAATTATGGTTGGTGAGGAAGAAAAATTAATAAGCCCATTAACAGAGGATAAAATGGTTAAGTTCTTTGTTAATAAAGACGAGTTATTTGATATTATCCATAATGCTCATATCCAAACTGGTCATGGTGGCCGAAATAGACTCTCAAATGAATTAAATTCTAAATACAAAAACATAACTTTTGAAACAATTATGATATACTTGAGGTTATGTCAAAGTTGTCAACTCAAAATAAAAAGAAAAGGAGAAACTTTAATTACAAAACCAACTTTAGGGAATGAATTAACTTCTAGATGTCAAGTTGATTTAATAGATTTACAAATACAACCAGATAACGATTATAAATTTGTGTTAAATTACCAAGACGATCTAACCAAGTTTGTGGTGCTACGTCCTTTAAAAACCAAAACAGCATCAGAAGTTGCAAATCACCTGCTTGATATTTTCACGCTTTTAGGGGCCCCAAGTATTCTTCAAAGCGGTAATGGGAGGGAATTTGCTAATGAAATTATAACAAAATTAACCAATTTATGGGACGGTATTAAAATAGTTCATGGTAATCAAAATCAAACTTCAATCGAAAGCACGAGTCAAGATATACAAAACATGTTGGAAATTTGGCTCCTTTCCAATAAAAGTACAAAATGGACCGAAGGATTAAAATTTGTTCAATTGATAAAGAACAAATCGTTTCATCACGAAATCAAACAAACGCCGTATGAAGCGTTTTTTGGATCGAAAATGAAATTGGGTTTGAATTTGCCGATGAAATTAATGAATGAGATCCAAACTGAAGAAGAATTACGGGATTATTTTGATAAAATTAATTCGGTTAATGATGTTGAAGGTGAGGATTTGTCGCAAAAAATAAATATTAATGGGGAAAATGTGTTAGATAAAATTAATATTAAGAATGAAGAAGTTTCGTTAGATAATTATGTTATTGTATCCGATAATGATCAAATTAATTCTACAACCAATGATTTTAAAGAAACAACACATTTTAGTGATAATGATCAAAGTTTAGATGATTATGGGAATAAATTTTTTGTTGAGCAACCCCAAAAAAAAGCAAGGCTAAGCTAATAAATCAAAATATTGCTTTTATTTAAATAAATTAAGAAGTTTTGTTAACATAACCTTAATTATTGACAGTCATCGTTCTTCTGTCTCCTACTACTAGATGGCGCAACCATATATGATAGTTTTGATACTTGACATTTAACTTTGGCTATGATCTGCAAGGTATTGGTTATAAAATTATTAAACTTGAACAAATTGACGTTGGCGGGGTGAGATTGATTTCTAGTTTTAGTTTTATTTCTAACGCAAAATGAGTTGAATACATTTTTTTTTAATAAAACGTCAAAATTCAATGTCATTTGGAAGTGAGGTTAGCTTGTGTTATTAAAGTGAGGTTAGGAATCTTCAACATCATTTTCTAGTACCAACACGGCCGTTTTCGAAGACATCGGCCGCCCCCGGCCATCACGAAAGTTGTTTAATATAATCGTGATAATTTTGATAAAGCTTTCTCTTGATACAACAAGTTGTTTTTACTTAAAAAATGTCGGTGCTTATTGATTATTCACCATGGTAACGGCAGGGTTGACAACTTTTAAACACAAAATCAAAAAATTTTCATAAAGTTTTCTGCTGATGTAATATGAAATAAAACTATAAATTTTTGGGTTATGCCGTGGGTATTTGGTTACGGCATAACCTCAAAATTTATAGTTTTAGTTTTATTTCCAACACAAAATGAGTTAAATAATTTGTTTTTAATAAAACGTCAAAAAATGTCACTTGAAAAAGACGCATATGATTTAGCGCCATCTAGTGATATTTATAAAAATTATTTTTTTTTTAATAACATTTTATTGAATTTTTGTTATATTAACGCTTAATTAAATCGAAAAATATCGATTTTTTTAAATATAAAGCTAATTTTTATTAAAATTTAATGAATTATTTTAAATTTGTTACTTATTGAGTTGAAAACTTAGATTTGAGGTTATGTTAAAAGTGTCATATTAATTGACAACTATGAAGTTAGTTTTGTTGAGGAACCATGCAATAATTTTCTTGGTGATCTGAAGAAAAAGCGTTTTTACAAGAAAATATTGTTTTGCTATCATTAAAACTATTTATAACTCGATCATTAATCACCGAAAATAGGTATAGAAAAATTCTTCTCTCAATTCAAATGATTTAAGGTAAGTTTAAAGCACCCTAAAATACTCAGATTTTCTGAGTTATTGATTATTAATTTCAAAATAAGCTTCATTTTGGTTATATTAATTAAATTTGCTTAAAAGTAATTGATATTGCATATTTAATTAAAAAATATATTTAATATATTGAGATATTATTGCAATTAAGGTGGCGCCATCTCTGATTTCATTTCACTACTTCAGATTGCTTTGATAATTTGACATTTAACTTAATAGAGTTTCGAAGTAATTGATAATTAATTTAAAAATAAACTTTATTTTGTTTATATTAATTAAATTTGCTTAAGAATAACTGATTTATTAAAAAATTTATTTAAAAATTTGTGGGTGAATCTAATTCAGTGGCGCCATCTCTACTTTAATGTCAGTATTCTTGTTTGTTTTCGACTTTTGACATTTAACTTTGTAATCTGAAGATAAAACTCTTTTTCAAGAAAATATCGGTTTATTTTACTTAAAATGATGGATTATTAGTCACCGCGGATTACATTTGGTAAATTTTCACTCCCCCCAAGCGATTGTTGGGTAAGTTTTTGATAAAAATTTCGAAATGTCGCAAACACTTTGAGTTTACTGTTTATTGGTTCATTTTGATTTAAAAATGATAAAAATCAAAAAGCAAGGCAAGTATCCTGTTAAAAATATTGATTTTATTTAAATAAATAAGGAACTTTTGTTAACATAACCTCAACTAATGACAGCTTTGATACTTGACATTTAAGTTTGGTTGTGATCTGAAGAAAAAGCGTTTTTAACAGAAAATATTGTTTTGTTAGAATTAAAACTGTTTATAACTCGATTATTAATCACCGCGGATTATGTTTAGAAATCAATTCAAGTGATTTAAGGTGAGTTTAAAGCACCCTAGGATACTCAGATTTTTTGAGTTATTGATTATTAATTTCAAAATAAGCTTTATTTTGGCGATATTAATTAAATTTACTTAAAAGTAATTGATGTTGAATATTTTATTAGAAAATATATTTAAAATAATTAGATATTATTGCAATTAAGGTGGCGCCATCTGTGATTTCATTTCACTACTTCAGGTTGCTTTAATAATTGACATTTAACTTAACAGATTTTCTAAGTTATTGATTATTAATTTAAAAATAAGCTTTATTTTGTTTATATTAATTAAATTTGCTTAAGAATAACTGAATTTACATGTTTTATTAAAAAATATATTTAAAAATCTGAGAGAATGTAAATGCAGTGGCGCCATCTCTGGATTAATGTCAGTACTTTTGTTTGTATTTCGACTTTTGACATTTAGCTTTGTAATCTGAAGATTTGAAGAAAATATCGCTTTATTTTACTTAAAATGATCGATTATTAGCTACCCTAGATTACATTTGGTAAATTTTCACTCCCCCAAGTGATTTTTGGGTAAGTTTTTGATAAAAATTAAAACACTTCCATTTTGATTTAAAAATCATAATTTCCTTTTAAAAATATTGCTTTTATTTAAATAAATAAGCAAACAAATAATAAAACATCGTAAATACAAACTCATTTTTGTGGAGTCCCCGTTGGGCTTTCTTGTTTCAACCTTTCAACGTCATTAAATACCACCTGAGCGCCACCGCTACAAGTTGGTAAAATATCGGCTTTATAAACTTTCGTCTCCAATTCGCCCGCCGAATCCTGTTCTTGCGCAATTAAACAATACTTTGATTGTTTCGTATTGGTCACATCACTAGCTTTTTTCAGCTTAGTAACAGATTTTCGTTTTTTCATCGCTGGTTGTAAAACGGTCCCCAAAGGAAGTGGTTTAACCGAGTTATGTTCCAACCAAACGCCCCCCGCGGATCTCGAACGCCTTCGACACCCCCCGCTCGTCGTTTCACGACTTCTCGCTGAACGATTCTTTAAAAATTCTTCGAAATTATCTAAAGTTTGAACTTCGGATTCGTAAGTTTGAATGTTTGTGGTTTGAGTTTCGCCGATGTGTTGATTAATTTGGGTGGGACTTTCGGGGTAAAAATCGTTTTCGAGGAGTTGTTTAACTTTGCTTAATTTTATTTGATTTGTAATCATTTGGGTGTTGAATTCTTCGCGTTGACGACGCAGGCAATCGTCTAATTCTTGCGATTGTTTTTCTTTGTTTAATTCAATTTTTTGTTTCACCCTTTCTTGTTCTAAATAATTTCTGTTTATTCTTAAATCTTTTTGATCGATAATTTTTTGCAAATTTCTAATATCTTCTTTATAATCTTCTTCTTTAGCCATTAAATTGTTTTGTTTCGTCATCAAATCAATCGTTTTCACCTCTAAATCGGCTATTTTATCTTGTTCTAATTTAATCATTGTATTCAAACTTTTTATTTCTGATTTCGCTAAAATGTTATCTTTTTCAAATTCAACCAGGCGGTTCCTAAATTCGTGTTCTAATCGTTTACATTGACGTTTATAAGGGGCTGAAGCTTCTTTTCTCGCTTTTAAAATGCATAATAAATTATTCAATGTACGTAAACATTCATCTGGTTCGTTGAAATTTAATTTTAACTTGGGTATTTCTGGTCCGAAACAAACTGCGGCTGAATTTGCGACTTTTATAACCGTAGCTGGGGTTTGAGGGGTGTTTTTGATTTTTTGTATCTTCCCGTATGGGGTGTACCTCGAGACGCCTTTGTTAATTTTAACTTCTTGGCTCATTTCGGCGAATTTCATCACTTGTTGGTTTTCTTCGTAATCGGTTCCTGATGGGTTGACGCAAACGATCATTTGGACTCGGCCATCGCCTTCGAAATAATTTTTAAAATACAAGGTGAGGCGAGTATCGCGGTAAGGCACCAAGCGATTCGCGTTATTTATTTGGTTATCGCGCAAAATTTCCATACAAGCTCTTAAAGACATTAACGAGTTGTTTATACTGCTTGCTTCTTTTAGACGCATTCCTACAAAAATTAAAATAAAGACGTGTCAGAAAGAAATGAAAAAATAAAGATGCCGTAGTCAAGAATTCGCGTTGCTATTAATTAACACATCCTTTTTAAATTTCGTTATAATAAGAAAAACTGTATTAGAAGAATTATTTTCAAAAACTTAGTTTTTTCTTATTAGAAATCGGGTATAAAATCAAAAATGCTTTAAAATGAACTCAAACTTGACATATTTATCTCTAATCGTTATCGAGATATTACAATTTTTAGCAAACAAAATGGCGGAAATTTGACATTTGACATCTTCTAACCTAACTTTTTTGTTTTTTAGCCTAAATGTGTCTTTGGTGTCAAATTAAAGCATTTTTGATTCTTATTAAGAAAATTAAAGATAATTTTTCATGATAAAATATTCGATTTTGACATTTGACAATTTTTTTAGTTGTCAAGTTGTTGGTTTCTTCATAAAATTAGATTGACGATTAAAAATCGCTAAAAATGAACCCAAACTCGACATATTTATCTCTAATCGTTATCGAGATTTTACAATTTTTAACAAACAAAATGGCGGAGATTTGACATCTTTTAACCTAACCTTTTTTGTTTTTGGTCGTAAATGTGTCATTTTTGGTGTCAAATTAAAGGATTTTTAATACATATTAAGAAAATTAGAGACAATTTTTCATTCAAAATATTCAATTTTGACATTTGACAATTTTTTTAGTTGTCAAGTTGTTGGTTTCTTCATAAATTTAGATTCACGATTAAAAATCGTTAAATATGAACCCAAACTCGACATATTTATCTCTAATCGTTATCGAGATATTATAATGTTTAGCAAACAAAATGGCGGCCATTTGACATCTTCTAACCTAACTTTTTGTATTTTGCCCTAAATGTGTCATGTTTGGTATCAAATTAAAGGATTTTCTATTCTTATTAAGAAAATTAAAGATAATTTTTCATAAAAAAACATTCGATTTTGACAATTGACAATTTTTTTAGTTGTAAAGTTGTTGGTTTCTTCATAAAATTAGATTGACGATTAAAAATCGTTAAATATGAACTCAAACTCGTCATATTGATCTCTAATCGTTATCAAGACATAATCTGTAATAAACAAAATGGTGGAGATTTGACATTTGACATCTTCTAAGCTAATTTTTTTGTTTTTTTGCCTAAATATGTCATGTTTGGTGTCAAATTAAAGGATTTTTAATACATATTAAGAAAATTAGAGACAATTTTTCATTCAAAATATTCAATTTTGACATTTGACAATTTTTTTAGTTGTCAAGTTGTTGGTTTCTTCATAAATTTAGATTCACGATTAAAAATCGTTAAATATGAACCCAAACTCGACATGTTCATCTCTAATCGTTATCGAGATTTTACAATATTTAACAAACAAAATGGCGGAGACTTGACATTTAACATCTTTTAATTTATCTTTTTTGTTTTTTAACCTAAATGTGTCATGTTTGGTGTCAAATTAAAGCATTTTTGATTCTTAAGAAGAAAATTAAAGATAATTTTTCATGAAAAACTATTCGATTTTGACATACAATTTTTTTAGTTGTCAAGTTGTTGGTTTCTTCATAAAATTAGATTGACGATTAAAAATCGCTAAAAATCAACCCAAACTCGATATATTTATCTCTAATCGTTATCGAGATTTTACAATTTTTAACAAACAAAATGGCGGAGATTTGACATCTTTTAACCTAACCTTTTTTGTTTTTGGTCGTAAATGTGTCATGTTTAGTGTCAAATTAAAGGATTTTTGATTCTTATTAAGAAAATTAAAGATAATTTTTCAAGAAAAAAATTTTCGATTTTGACATTTGATAATTTTTTTAGTTGTCAAGGTGCTGATTTCTTCATAAAATTAGTTTGACGATTAAAAATCGCTAAATATGAACCCTAACACGACATATTTATCTTTAATCGTTATGGAGATATTATAATGGTTAGCAAACAAAATGGCGGCCATTTGACATCTTCTAACCTAACTTTTTTTGTTTCTTGTCCTAAATGTGTCATGTTTGGTACCAAATTAAAGGATTTTTACTCTTTATTAAGAAAATTAAAGATGATTTGTCATTAAAAAATATACCATTTTGACATTTGACAATTTTTTTAGTTGTAAAGTTGTTGGTTTCTTCATAAAATTAGATTGACGATTAAAAATCGTTAAATATGAACCCAAGCTCGATGTATTTATCTCTAATCGTTATCGAGATTTTACAGCTTTTAAGAAACAAAATGGCGGAGATTTGACATTTGACATCTTCTAAGCTAACTTTTTTGTTTTTTGACCTAAATGTGTCATGTTTGGTGTCAAATTAAAGCATTTTTAATTCTTCTTAAGAAAATTAAAGATAATTTTTTATGAAAAAATATTCGATTTTGACATTCGACAATTTTTTTAGTTGTCAAGTTGTTGGATTCTTCATAAAATTAGATTGACGATTAAAAGTCGTTTAATATGAACCCAAGCTCTATATATTTATCTCTAATCGTTATCGAGATTTTACAATTTTTAACAAACAAAATGGCGGAGATTTGACATTTTACATTTTCTAACCTAACTTTTTTGTTTCTTGTCCTAAATGTGTCATGTTTGGTGTCAAATTAAAAGATTTTTCATTCTGATTAAGAAAACGGAAGTTAATTTTTCATTAAAAAATATTCAATTTTGACATTTGACAATTTCTAACCTAACAATTTCATTTTTTAATCGAAATGGGTAGTATTTGGTATCAAATTAAAGCATTCTTGATTCTCATTAAGATTATTTTAATATTTATCAAAAAATAATTAAATTTGATTGTGACATTGTCAGTTTCCAACCTAACTTTTTAATTCTTTCACCCAAATGTGAAAAAATATTCGATTTTGACATTGGACAATTTTTTTAGTTGTCAAGTTGTTGGATTCTTCATAAAATTAGATTGACGATTAAAAGTCCTTTAATATGAACCCAAGCTCTATATATTTATCTCTAATGGTTATCGAGATTTTACAATTTTTAACAAACAAAATGGCGGAGATTTGACATCTTCTAACCTAACTTTTTTGTTTTTCGTCCTAAATGCGTCATGTTTGGTGTCAAATTAAAGAATTTCTGATTCTTATTAAGAAAATTAGAGATAATTCTTCATTCAAAATATTCAATTTTGACATTTGACAATTTTTTTAGTTGTCAAGTTGTTGGTTTCTTCATAAAATTAGATGACGATTAAAAATCGCTAAAAATAAACCCAAACTCGACATATTTATCTCTAATCGTTATCAAGACAATTTGTAATAAACAAAATGGCGGAGATTTGACATTTGACATCTTCCTAACTTTTAACTATAACTTTTTTCTTTTTTGGCCTAAATGTGTCATGTTTGGTGTCAAATTAAAAGATTTTTCATTCTGATTAAGAAAATGGAAGATAATTTTTCATTAAAAAATATTCAATTTTGACATTTGACAATTTCTAACCTAACATTGTCATTTTTTAATCGAAATGGGTCGTGTTTGGTATCAAATTAAAGCATTCTTGATTCTCATTAAGATTATTTCAATATTTATCAAAAAATAATTAAATTTGATTTTAACATATTAATTTTTTCACCCAATCTAGTTTTAGGTCTCGTATTTATTATTATTACTATAAAATACTCACCAGTATTTTGTGTTCGGCTACATCTTTCCGATCCAGCAAGATCAACCAAACTTAATTGCCCAATTTTCATGCAATTTGTTTCAGGAATTAATCCCACCTGCCCTGGAACTTCCTTTTCAAGCTGAACAACGCGTATATTAAAAATGGAGTGACTCCTGCTTGATTCAGCGTTTAATAAGGTATGTCCGACACGTTTCCTTTTTTGCCCCATGTGTAAAACTTCAAAAGCGGCCATTGCCGACTTTACTTCAATTTCAACCATGTTATTTACGTACATATTCTTTAAATAATCTTCCCGTAATATTTTACTTTGAAGAGTTTTCCCATCGGCTTCATCCAACAAATCGAAAACGATATTATTGTAAATTTCAACGTACGAGATAAAAACAGAGTAAAGATTCTTATCATTAAAATTATTAACTCGCATTTCGTCGTTGGCGTAACTAAAATTTCTTTGTTCTGCGACTTTTCGCTTTAAAGATCCTGAAGAACTTGATTTCGATTCTAATAATCGATCGTTTGCGGCGTCTTTTTCGGTTTGAATTTCAAATCCATTCATTTTATCCGACTTAATGAGATATTTAGTAGCTTGATAATTAGAGATTGTGTTAAATAAAGTGTTAATAGCTCGTGGAATTAACCCCGGATCTTTGTAATCTCCTGATACGGTGTATGTTTTACCGGATCCTGTTACGCCGTAAGTAAACAACAACCCATTTTTACCTTGCAAAAGATCCTCGATCATGGGATAAGCGACAGTTTCAAAAACCTCTTTTTGTGTTGATCCTGGTGCAAAAACTTTATGAAACACATGTTGGGAATCTCTCGAGATCTTATCCGGAGGGGAAATGATTGAAACAACCGTTGGAGATACTATATCGACACACGGTTGATCTCTATCGTCTAATAAAGGTCTTAATCTACAATAAACATGAACTTGCTCTTTGTTTTTATCACTTTCCGAACCAGAGGATAAATTCGTTTTTTCTCTTCTCGTTAATTTTCGTGGAACTTTTGGTTGATACATCGCCACAATTAATTGCAATTATTAACCAATTTTAAACGTTTTTGATGCGGGTAAACTTCTTTCACCGAATCTTGTACGTTTTTGACCGTTAAATTTTAAAACTTGTTGACAGTTGTAATTGTCATTATGAGAGACATCTAGGGGGAAATAGGTGAACTTTGCTTATTTTAGTTTGATTGAAAATTTATTATTAATTTTTAATACGAATAAAATTTAATTATATAATTATAATTAATTTTGCTTAAAATTAATTCAAGTTGTATTTTTTATTAAAAAGATATATTTAAAATAACACAATTTTAATACAAATAAGGTGGCGCCATCTCTGATTTCATTTCGCTATTTTGATAAAGATATTTAACTTAACGGATTTTCTTAATTATCGATTATTAATTTAAAAATAAACTTTATTTTGGTTATATTAATTAAATTTGCTTAAGAATAACCGAATTTGTATGTTTTATTAAAAAATATAAATATAAATATGTGTTGCGAATGTAAATGAAGTAGCGCCATCTCTAGTTTCGTTTCAAAGTTGTTTGTATTTTGACGTTTAACTTTGTAATGTGAAGAAAAACTTTTTGAAGCAAATTTCGCTTTATTTTGCTTAAAATGATCGATTATTAGCCACCACGGATTACATTTAGTGTATTTTCACTCCCCCAAGTAATTTTTGGGTAAGTTTTTGATGAGATTATCAAATTTTTTTAATATAGTTTATTTAATTCTTCCCTTTTGAAACCTCTTATCTCTCCTCTCTTGACTACTTGTTTTTCTTTCTTTATTTTGCACAACATATATTCCTCGTCTAGTTTCTTGGATTAGTTCTGATACTTTGCAAATTCTAATATAATCCTCCAGGGTTAATTTTTCTTCTTTTAGAAGTCTATCTCTAACTTTGTTATCCCTGAGTCCACATACTATTCTATTTGTAATTAATCCATATTTCAAGTTTTTGAAATTAGTCTTTGCTTAATTTAACCTTCTCATTGTACTTTAGAATTAAATATGTGTCTATTGACCATTATTTTATTAGTCTTTGATGTGAAGTATTTCTCCAACTCCATTAAAACTTTTTCCAATCTTTTCTTCATTGATTTCTAATGTATCAAAAATTTCTTGGACTTTTTCTCCAATCGTGTGTAGGAGTAGAGCAACTTTCCTTTGCCCATAATAGTTAAAGGTTATACTTTCATCGATTTCAGACACCGACATGTACACAATAAACTTGTTTTTCCATCGTTTAAGGAAGTTACCAACAATATCTCCTTGATTGTTGATCCATTTTTTATTCTTGTCTATTATTAACATAACCAAAACATAACCTTAATTAATGACAATCATCGTTCTTTTATCTCCTACTACTAGATGGCGTAACCATATATGACAGTTTTGATAATTGTCATTTAACTTTGGTTGTAATCTGAAGAAAAAGCGTTTTTAAAAGAAAATATTATTTCATTATAATTAAAACCGTTTATAACTCGATTATTAATCATCGCGGATTAGGTTTAGAAATCAATTCAAATAATTTAAGGTAAGTTTAAAGCACCCTAAAATACTCAAATTTTCTGAGTTGTTGATTATTGATTTCAAAATAACCTTTATTTCGGTGATATTAATTAAATTTGGTTAAAAGTATTTGATGTTGCATATTTAATTAAAAAATATAGTTAAAATAATGAGATTTTATTGTGATTACGGTTGCGCCATCTCTGATTTCATTTCACTACTTCAAGTTGCTTTGATTATTGACATTTAACTTAACAGATTTTCTGATTTATTGATTATTAATTTAACAATAAAGTTTATTTTGGTTATATTAATTAAATTTGCTTAAGAATAACCGAATTTGTATGTTTTATTAAAAAAATATAAATAAAAATATGTGGAGCGAATGTTATGAAGTGGCGCCATCTCTAATTTCATTTCAAAGTTGTTTGTAGTTTGACGTTTTACTTTGTAATTTGAAGAAAAACTTTTTTAAGCAAATTTCGCTTTATTTTACTCAAAATGATCGATTATTAGCCACCACGGATTACATTTCGTGTATTTTCACTCCCCCCAAGTATTTATTGGGTAAGTTTTTGATAAAAATATCAAATTTTTTTTAACATAATTTATTTAAGTAATTTACTTCAACATATCCTCGGTAATCAACAACCCAGCCATAGAAGCCGTCATTAAGCATACAATCGTCCCTGCAATATAACCCCTCATCACAACTTTAACCACTGTTTCACTTCTTTCCGGTGACAAAGCACTCAATGCGGAAATAACTAGCCCTATTGAACCCGGATTCGCGAATCCGACGATGGAAAAAGTTGCGATAACTTGAGTCCTTCGCGACAATTCGTCTCGCATCCGAGAGAAGAGTTCAAAAGCTGCGAATTCGTTTACGATCATTTTGATGCCGAGCAATTTACCCACACTTTGGCATTCATCCCATGGCACGCCCATGATGAAGGCGATGGGCGTTAAAATGTAACCCGCGGCGATTTCAATCGACCAAATGTCATCTTCTCCAACGTAACCAACCAAAGAACCCATCCAAGCGAGGATTCCGTTGATCCAATAAACGAAAGCGATGAATCCGATTAAATTTGCGATTATGTTTAAGACGATGAATGATGCTTCCGACGCTCCTTTACTTGCTGCGTCCATCACAGAACGGAAATTACTAAGAAATGAATTAGTAACAATTAACCAATTAAATGTTTTAGGTTTTACTTACGATTGAGTAAGTTTAATGGTGTGCTTCGTGGCTTGGATTTCTTCAGTTTCGGGATAAAACAGCTTACTAAAATACAAAGCCGTAGGCGCTGCCATAACAGTAGCTGTAATTAAATCTTCAGGTCTTGCACCGAATGAAATATAAGCAGCAAAAACAGTCCCTAAAACGATAAAAACATAACGATAACACTTAACATCAAAATTAATACTCACCTGATGTTGAAGCAAAACCGGAAGTAACAATGGTGTGAAATTCACTCGTTGTAAGATCCTTTAAGTACGGTTTAAGTAATAAAGGTGCTTCGCTTTGGCCTAAAAATAAATTCGCAGCACCATTTACCGACTCACAAATGGAGGTGCCCAAAACTTTTTGTAAAACTCGCCCGATCGATAAAATAAGGGATTGCATAATACCGTAATGATATAAAATGTTGATGATAAAATTCAAAAAATAAATGGTCGCTAAGGCTTTAAACGCGAACACTCCCATTTCGAAGACGAGCTTATCTCCGTAAACAAATGCGGAACCTAATTGGGCGTATTCCAAGAAAGCGACGACTTTATCGCCTAAACATTTGAATATGTTGCGACCAACCTCCCAACGGATCGTTAATAATCCGAAACAAAATTGAACGATCATGCCCCAAATGATAGTGGTCCATCGGACTTGGCCGGGGTATTTACTAAAAACGTAGCCGAAAAGTAAGAAAACGCAAAGACCGGCTACAGGGATTAATCGGGAACGATCGCTATCATTTCCCGTGTCTATTATAAGATAAATTAAAGCTGCGGCTAAAATCGCTAAGTATCCTATTGCTTTTAAAATCCTAAAATAAAAAATTAATTATAAACAAACAATTTTAACAAAATTATTCGCTTACTTATTCGAAAAAATTCTTCGTAAAAGTACTAAAATCGGTTTGACTATGTAATTTCCTATTGGTGTTACTATAAATGGCTTTAATAACCATTTATACGATGCGAATATCACGGTGAATATGTAGAGAAGCATTGAGAAACCGTATCCTGTGCACATCGTATCGCCGAAGCTATCATAATGGTATTCTGCCAAAAAAAAATTGATTTTAAATTAGTTAAAAAAAAACCGTACTATACTATGTTACCTAACACTATGTACAGGGTGGCCGAATAAGCGTGCAAAGTATCTCGGAAAATACTGATTTAATGACTAAAGTGGCAAAGAGAAAATCTTGGGAATTGTTTTCATGTTTCTAAGATGACTATTAAGGGGTGCAACTGCCATATTGAATTAAAAAATGTGGATTTTCTCGGATTTGCGCTGTATTAACCGAACAAAAAAGTATATGCTTTTTATAGTTTAGATAAATTGTAGTTTTTTTTGTTAAAACACTTTCAATCTCTAAAAATAAAGTGGTGGGGGTGTCGAATTTTAATTTCCCTCTGAACAGTATGATACACATCACTGCAAAATTTAATTCTAAATCGATTATTTTAATAGATTTTTTCAATATCTTCACCAGGTGGGGCTCTATACTCGTATAAAAATTAATGTTTTTGGGGTTATGTCAATAATTATTGATCATATGAAAATTTTTTATAAACAATATTTGTTTAGAACCAAATTACAAACAATTTTTATTAATAACATTTTTCAAAATAACAAATTTTTAATTTCCCTCTGAATAGTACAGAGCTGTCAATGTCAATGCAAATTAAGGGATTTAAAAAAAGATTTTTATCGAAAAATGTTTCGTATAATATTTGTTTAAAATTTAATTCTAAATCGATTATTTTAATAATTTTTTTCAATATCTCCACCAGGTGGGGCTCTATACTCGTATAAAGATTAAGATTTTTGAGGTTATGTCAACAATTATTGATCGTATTAAAATTTTTTATAAACAATATTTGTTTAGAACTAAATTACAAACAATTTTTATTAATAACATTTTTCAAAATAGCAAATTTTTAATTTCCCTCTGAATAGTACAGAGCTGTCAATGTCAATGCGAATTAAGGGATTTCAAAAATTAATTTTATCGAAAAATGTTTCGTATAATATTTGTTTAAAATTTAATTCTAAATCGATTATTTTAATAAAGTTTTTTGACATCTCCACCAGGTGGGGCTCTATACTCGTATAAAAATTAATATATTTGAGGTTATGTCAACAATTATTGATCGTATTAAAATTTTTTATAAACAATGTTTCTTTAGAACCAAATTACAAACAATTTTTATTAATAACATGTTTCAAAATAATAAATTTTTAATTTCCCTCTGAAGAGTACAGAGCTGTCAATGTCAATGCAAATAAAGGGTTTTCGAAAATTAATTTTATCGAAAAATGTTTCGTATAATATTTATTTAAAATTTAATTGTAAATCGATTATTTTAATAGATTTTTTCAATCCCTCCACCAGGTGGGGCTCTATACTCGTATAAAAATTTATATTTTTGAGGTTATCTCAACAATTATTGATCGTATCAAAATTTTTTATAAACAATATTTGTTTAGAATCAAATTACAAACAATTTTTATTAATAACATTTTTCAAAATAACCAAATTTTAATTTCCCTCTGAATAGTACAGAGCTGTCAATGTCAATGCAAATTAAGGGACTAAAAAAAAGATTTTTATTGAAACATTTTTCGTATAATATTTGTTTAAAATTTAATTCTAAATCGATTATTTTAATAAATTTTTTCAATATCTCCACCAGGTGGGGCTCTATACTCGTATAAAAATTAATATTTTTGAGGTTATGTCAACAATTATTGATCATATTCAAATTTTTTATAAGCAATATTTGTTTAGAATCAAATTACAAACAATTTTTATTAATAACATTTTTCAAAACAACAAATTTTTAATTTCCCTCTGAACAGTACAGTGCTGTCAATGTCAATGCAAATTAAGGGATTTCAAAAATTAATTTTATCGAAAAATGTTTCGTATAATATTTGTTTAAAATTTAATTCTAAATCGATTGTTTTAATAAATTTTTTCAATATCTCCACCAGGTGGGGCTCTATACTCGTATAAAAATTAATATTTTTGAGGTTATGTCAACAATTATTGATCGTATTCAAATTTTTTATAAACAATATTTGTTTAGAATCAAATTACAAACAATTTTTATTAATAACATTTTTCAAAATAGCAAATTTTTAATTTCCCTCTGAATAGTACAGAGCTGTCAATGTCAATGCGAATTAAGGGATTTCAAAAATTAATTTTATCGAAAAATGTTTCGTATAATATTTGTTTAAAATTTAATTCTAAATCGATTGTTTTAATAAATTTTTTCAATATCTCCACCAGGTGGGGCTCTATATTCGTATAAAAATTAATATTTTTGAGATTATGTCAACAATTATTGATCGTATTCAAATTTTTTTATAAATAATATTTGTTTAAAACCAAATTACAAACAATTTTTATTAATAACATTTTTTAAAATAACAAATTTTTAATTTCCCTCTGAACAGTACAGAGCTGTCAATGTCAATGCATATTAAGGGATTTAAAAAAAGATTTTTATCGAAAAATGTTTCGTATAATATTTGTTTAAAATTTAATTCTAAATCGATTATTTTAATAGATTTTTTCAATATCTCCACCAGGTGGGGTTCTATACTCGTATAAAAATTAATATTTTTGAGGTTATGTCAACAATTATTGATCGTATTAAAATTTTTTATAAACAATATTTGTTTAGAACCAAATTACAAACAATTTTTATTAATAACATTTTTCAAAATAACAAATTTTTAATTTCCCTCTGAACAGTACAGAGCTGTCAATGTCAATGCAAATAAAGGGATTTAAAAAAAGATTTTTATCGAAAAATGTTTCGTATAATATTTGTTTAAAATTTAATTCTAAATCGATTGTTTTAATAAATTTTTTCAATATCTCCACCAGGTGGGGCTCTATACTCGTATAAAGATTAATATTTTTGAGGTTATGTCAACAATTATTGATCGTATCAAAATTTTTTATAAACAATATTTGTTTAGAACTAAATTACAAACAATTTTTATTAATAACATTTTTTAAAATAACAAATTTTTAATTTCCCTCTGAACAGTACAGTGCTGTCAATGTCAATGCAAATTAAGGGATTTAAAAAAAGATTTTTATTGAAAAATGTTTCGTATAATATTTGTTTAAAATTTAATTCTAAATCGATTGTTTTAATAAATTTTTCCAATATCTCCACCAGGTGGGGCTCTATACTCGTATAAGAATTAATATTTTTGAGGTTATGTCAACAATTATTCATCGTATCAAAATTTCTTATAAACAATATTTGTTTAGAACCAAATTACAAACAATTTTTATTAATAAGATTTTTCAAAATAACAAAATTTTAATTTCCCTCTGAATAGTACAGAGCTGTCAATGTCAATGCAAATTCATGGATTTCAAAAATTAATTTTACTGAAAAATGTTTCGTATATTATTTATTTAGAATTTAATTCTAAATCGATTGTTTTAATAAATTTTTTCAATATCTCCACCAGGTGGGGCTCTATACTCGTATAAAAATTAATATTTCTGAGGTTATGTCAACAATTATTGATCGTATCAAAATTTTTTATAAACGATATTTGTTTAGAACCAAATTACAAACAAATTTTATTAATAATATTTTTCAAAATAACAAATTTTCAATTTCCCTCTGAACAGTACAGTGCTGTCAATGTCAATGCAAATTAAGGGATTTCAAAAATTAATTTTATCGAAAAATGTTTCGTATATTATTTGTTTAAAATTTAATTCTAAATCGATTATTTAAATAAAGTTTTTTGACATCTCCGCCAGGTGGGGTTCTGTACTCGTATAAAAATCAATATTTTTGAGGTTATGTCAATAATTATTAATCGTATTAAAATTTTTTATAAACAATATTTGTTTAGAACTAAATTACAAACAATTTTTATTAATAACATTTTTCAAAAATAACAGATTTTTAATTTCCCTCTGAATAGTACAGAGCTGTCAATGTCAATGCAAATTCAGGGATTTCAAAAATTAATTTTATCAAAAAATGTTTCGTATAATATTTGTTTAAAATTTTATTTTAAATCGATTATTTTAATAAATTTTTTCAATATCTCCACCAGGTGGGGCTCTATATTCGTATAAAAATTAATATTTTTGAGGTTATGTCAACAATTATTGATCGTATTAAAATTTTTTATAAATAATATTTGTTTAGAACCAAATTACAAACAATTTTTATTAATAACATTTTTCAAAATAGCAAATTTTTAATTTCCCTCTGAACAGTACAGTGCTGTCAATGTCAATGCAAATTCAGGGATTTCAAAAATTAATTTTATCGAAAAATGTTTCGTATAATATTTATTTAAAATTTAATTGTAAATCGATTATTTTAATAGATTTTTTCAATCCCTCCACCAGGTGGGGCTCTATACTCGTATAAAAATTTATATTTTTGAGGTTATCTCAACAATTATTGATCGTATCGAATTTTTTTATAAACAATATTTGTTTAGAACCAAATTACAAACAATTTTTATTAAAAACATTTTTCAAAATAACCAAATTTTAATTTCCCTCTGAATAGTATGGTACATATCACTAACTCATATAGAAAAATAGCAATAGCTATGCATAACCATGGTAATTAACTGTTTTAAATATCAAAAATTCTTCTTTCTCACCCAAAACATTTTGACAAATTTGACAATCCAATTCACGTCTCATTAAAAAAGAAAATTCCAACGTACAAAATCAACTTACGTCCATCTTGTATATAAAAAGCGGTCGCCCACGCGAAATGTGCAGTAACAAAGGAAAAAAAGAAAATTTTAAGTCCATGTTCGATTCGTTTACTGTGAGCTTTCGTCAAATCCCCAATAGATTCGTGGAAATTCTGCAATTTCGTCCCAATATAAGTCGATTTTCGTTTTAACACTTTTTTTGGACCTTCCAACGATTCATTTCCATTCTGTTCCATCGTCACTTAAAAAAGGTTTTTAATTAAAGATTAATTAATACAGTTGCGTTAAAATTTCGTTATAATCCCGGATTATTAACAGGAAGGGGTTATCTTATTATTTTGTTATACTTAATTGATAAATTGGATCATTAATCATTAAAAATCTTTAAACGTTTGAAGCTAATTAATTTTAAATCTGAAAATTATTAAAAAAAAAGAATAAAGTGTTTTTCACTTCAATTATTTATTTATTAAATGACTTATTTAATATAATAAAAAATTTTACTCACCATTTGATTCATTCATTTTTTTTTTGATTAATAATTCCTTACAATTCAATAACACAACGCTCAACACGACAAAAAACACTTCTACATTCTAAAACACCTAATATAATACAACTTCACCGATAATTTTTTTTGTTTTAAGATAAAACTTGATAACGACGATTAAATTATAACGATCATTTTGAAATAATCTTTTAAACTAGGGGGCAGGTGTGGTTAATATAAACTAGATAGATAATGTGCTACTTTTAGAAGTGGACACAAATTGCGAAAACTAATGATTACGTACAACTCGGTTATTTAATGGTTAAAAAACGACCAGGTACATTTCGTTTTTTTTCCTACACGGCACGATTGAAAATAACTCGAATATCATCATAATACAGTCATAAAAGAATGTTGGGAAATATATCGAATGGCTTTTGCTACACGTTAACCTTCTATTCTTTTTTCTTTTCAACGTAAAATTTAATTCTAGGAATTAAATGTGTTATTTAAAAATTTTTATTGCGGATAATTTAAATTTTGAATAATTCCACTTATAACTGGATAATATTAATTAACCTTTGTTAGAAAATGTTATTTGACAATTTATCGATAACCCTCGAAATTATCGCAACTTGTTTTGATTTTGTGATTACAAATAATTCACTTTTTTATATCTATTTATTTTTTCTATCTCAATTAAGTTTGACAAGTCATTTTTAGTTCACTTTAATCTTAAAATACAAAATTATGCTGAGTTAATAACATTGCAGGTTGAAACAAGAACTCCAAAATCATACCAAGATCAATTTTATGAAACTTTCCAAACTTGATGAAGCTGCTTGGAATTAGACTTGAAACTGCAAGGGGGGATTTGGAATGGGACAAGATCAGATTTTGTGCTCCAAGAATAAATGAAGCCATTTTAAAGGTAAAAATATTATTATTAATAGTATTGGGACTTGAGTTTTAGAAATTTTTACGATTTGACTCATTTTTTGATTTTAACAATATTGATATGATATGTATGTTAAATTGAAGCTTAAAGATTCTAGTTTATGATATGATAAAAGAATTATATGATAATATCATTGAAATTTCCACGAAAAAGTGATTAAAGAAATTGTCAAATTTATAAATTAAAAATAACACGAAATTTTCAAAAAATCATATCGGCTGTATTTTTAAGAATCTTGATATGACACGTATGTTAAATTGAAGCTTAAAGATTCTAGTTTATGATATGATAAAAAAATTATATGATATTATTATTGAAATTTCCAGGAAAAAGTTATTAAAGATGAAATTGTCAAATTTATAAATTAAAAATAACACGAAATTTTCAAAAAATCATATCGGCTCTATTTTTAAGAATCTTGAAATGATATGTATGTTAAATTGAAGCTTAAAGATTCTAGTTTATGATTAGATAAGAAAATTATATGATATTATTAATGAAATTTCCAGGAAAAAGTTATTAAAGATGAAATTGTCAAATTTATAAATTAAAAGTAACACGAAATTTTCGAAAAATCATATCGACTGTATTTTCAAGAATCTTGATATGATGTGTATGTTAAATTGAAGCTTAAAGATTCTAGTTTATGATATGATAAAAAAATTATATGATAGTATCATTGAAATTTCCAGGAAAAAGTGATTAAAGAAATTGTCAAATTTATAAATTAAAAATAACACGAAATTTTCAAAAAATCATATCATTTGTATTTTTCATGGAAATGATTTGATATATATGTTAAATTGAAGCTTAAAGATTCTAGTTTGTGATATGATAAAAAAATTATATGATATTATTAATGAAATTTCCAGGAAAAAGTGATTAAAGATGAAATTGTCAAATTTATAAATTAAGCATAACACGAAATTTTCAAAAAATCATATCGACTGTATTTTTGAGAATCTGGATATGATATGTATGTTAAATTGAAGCTTAAAGATTCTAGTTTATGATGTGATAAAAAAATTATATGATAATATTATTGAAATTTCCAGGAAAAAGTGATTAAAGATGAAATTGTCAAATTTATAAATTAAAAATAACACGAAATTTTCAAAAAATCATATCGGCTGTATTTTTAAGAATCTTGATATGACACGTATGTTAAATTGAAGCTTAAAGATTCTAGTTTATGATATGATAAAAAATTATATGATATTATTATTGAAATTTCCAGGAAAAAGTTATTAAAGATGAAATTGTCAAATTTATAAATTAAAAAGAATAAGACATTTTAAAAAAAAACCATATCGACTGTATTATTAAGAGCCATGATATGATATGTATGTCAAATTGCAGCTTAAAGACTCTAGTTTACGAAATGATATAAAAACTATAAGGTAATATCGTTGCATTTTCCAAAAAAAAAAATTAAAGAAGAAATTATCAAATTTATAAATTAAAAAGAATAAGAAATTTTCAAAAAAACCCATATCGACTGTATTATTAAGAGCCATGATATGATATGTATGTCAAATTGTAGCTTAAAGACTCTAGTTTACAAAATGATATAAAAACTATAAGGTAATATCATAT